GATATGGGATTGACATGACATTAAAAGTCAGGCAGCGATGTCAGAGGAAGGCCCTAAAAATTGTCAAAAACTCCAGCCACCCTAGTCATAGACTGTTCTCTCTGCTACCGCATGGCAAGCGGTACCGGAGCGCCAAGTCTAGGTCCAAGAGCTTCTACCCCAAAGCCATAAGACTCCTGAACATCTAATGAAATGGCTACCCAGACTATTTGCAACCCCCCCCCCACACCCTTCTTTTACGCTGCTGCTACTCTCTGTTTATTATCTACAGTGAAGGAAAAAAGTATTTGATCCCCTGCTGATTTTGTATGTTTGCCCACTGACAAAGAAATGATCAGTCTATCATTTTAATGGTAGGTTTATTTGAACAGTGAGAGACAGAATAACAACAAGAAAATCCAGAAAAACGTGTTATAAATTGATGTTATATTAAATGTTATAAATTGATTTGCATTTTAATGAGGGAAATAAGTGTTTGACCCCCTCTCAATCAGAAAGATTTCTGGCTCCCAGGTGTCTTTTATACAGGTAACGAGCTGAGATTAGGAGCACACTCTTAAAGGGAGTGCTCCTAATCTCAGTTTGTTACCTGTATAAAAGACACCTGTCCACAGAAGCAATCAATCAATCAGATTCCAAACTCTCCACCATGGCCAAGACCAAAGAGCTCTCCAAGGATGTCAGGGACAAGATTGTAGACCTACACAAGGCTGGAATGGGCTACAAGACCATCGCCAAGCAGCTTGGTGAGAAGGTGACAACAGTTGGTGCGATTATTCGCAAATGGAAGAAACACTCAGCCCAGAACTACATGGGGGGATCTTGTCAATGATCTCAAGGCAGCTGGGACCATAGTCACCAAGAAAACAATTGGTAGCACACTACGCCGTGAAGGTCTGAAATCCTGCAGCGCCCGCAAGGTCCCCCTGCTCAAGAAAGCACATATACAGGCCCGTCTGAAGTTTGCCAATGAACATCTGAATGATTCAGAGGAGAACTGGGTGAAAGTGTTGTGGCGAGATGAGACCAAAATGGAGCTCTTTGGCATCAACTCAACTCGCCGTGTTTGGAGGAGGAGGAATGCTGCCTATGACCCCAAGAACACCATCCCCACCGTCAAACATGGAGGTGGAAACATTATGCTTTGGGGGTGTTTTTCTGCTAAGGGGACAGGACAACTTCACCGCATCAAAGGGACAATGGACGGGGCCATGTACCATCAAATCTTGGGTGAGAACCTCCTTCCCTCAGCCAGGGCATTGAAAATGGGTCGTGGATGGGTATTCCAGCATGACAATGACCCAAAACACACGGCCAAGGCAACAAAGGAGTGGCTCAAGAAGAAGCACATTAAGGTCCTGGAGTGGCCTAGCCAGTCTCCAGACCTTAATCCCATAGAAAATCTGTGGAGGGAGCTGAAGGTTCGAGTTGCCAAACGTCAGCCTCGAAACCTTAATGACTTGGAGAAGATCTGCAAAGAGGAGTGGGACAAAATCCCTCCTGAGATGTGTGCAAACCTGGTGGCCAACTACAAGAAACGTCTGACCTCTGTGATTGCCAACAAGGGTTTTGCTACCAAGTACTAAGTCATGTTTTGCAGAGGGGTCAAATACTTATTCCCTCATTAAAATGCAAATCAATTTATAACATTTTTTACATGCGTTTTTCTGGATTTTTTTGTTGTTATTCTGTCTCTCACTGTTGAAATAAACATACCATTAAAATTATAGACTGATCATTTCTTTGTCAGTGGGCAAACGTACAAAATCAGCAGGGGATCTAATACTTTTTTCCCTCACTGTATGTATAGTCACTTTAATACCTACCTACATGCACATATTACCTCAATTACCTTGACTAACCGGTGCCCCCGCACATTGACTCGGTACCGGTACCCTCTGTATATAGCCTCGCTATTGTTATTTTACTGCTGCTCTTTAATTATTTGTTACTTTTATTTCTTATTTTTTTAGGTATTCTTTCTTAAAACTACATTGTTGGTTAAGACCTTGTAAGTAAGCATTTCACTGTAAGGTCAACACCTGTTGTATTCGGCGCATGTGACAAATACAATTTGATTTAATTTGATTTGAGCTACATTATGGGACACTCAGATAAGGCTTCACCACCTAAAGCATTTTTTATTGTCATGTGACCCTCTAGATGAGCAAAACAATGTCTCTGACTCAGGAAAATGTCCTGGTTCTAAACCACTGTCTGTAAAGGAAACACTAGGCAGTCATCAAGGTCCTTGGAGAGTATGTGTTAACAGATACCTAGGAACTTTTAAAGCTGCACCATCGAGAGCATCCTGACTGGTTGTATCACCGTCTGGTATGGCAACTGCACCGCCCTCGACCGGAAGGCCCTATAGAGGGTGGTGCGGATGCCCCTGCGCATCACTGGGGGTGACCTCAGCCATCCAGGACCTACATGGCAAGTTGTGTCTGAGAAAGGCCTGATGAATTGCAGAGACATGGACTGTTCTCCACGCTCCAGTCCGGCAGGCAGTACCAGTGCATCAAGGCTCAGACAAACTCCTAAACAGCTTCTTTCCCCTGGCCATAAATGTCTAACAACTACTGCTGCTCCCCCTCACACTCAAATGATTATTTTATTTATTTATTTATTTATTACTACCAGTACTTTTTATTTATTTAACTAGGCAAGTCAGTTAAGAACAAATTCTTATTTACAATGACGGCCTACCCCGGCCAAACCCAAACGACGCTTGGCCAATTGTGCGCCGCCCTATGGGACCCCCAATCACGGCCTGTAGTGACGCCTCAAGCACTGAGATGCAGTGCCTTAGACCGCTGCGCCACTCGGGAGCCCCGAGTACACTGCTATTAATTGATTATTGATTGCCATTACCATTACCATTTATTTATTTATCCTGCTACTGGTCAATATTACTCCTGTTCATTTGTATATATTACCACTAGTATATTACCATCAGTATCCCTGCACATTGTAAATGTGGTACTGGCACTGACCCTGTATATAGCTTCCTCTCTGTGGTACTGAACACTGACCCTGTATATAGCTTCCTCTCTGTGGTACTGGTACTGACCCTGTATATAGCTTCCTCTCTGTGGTACTGGTACTGACCCTGTATATACAGTAACTTCTTCTCTTATTTCTTATTTTTAATTAGTCTTATTACTATATTGATATTGAATACTACAATGTTGGGTAGCAAGTGTACCTGTGCATGTGACAAACTAACAAAAATTTATTTGCAAATACTGTAATTAATGGAACATTCTGAACCATATAAATGTCTCAATGTAATTAAATAAATGTAGAGATTGGAGTAAGATGGAAGTTCAAAAAGCAATGCTCTGGTTAATTAACTGAGTCTCTGCTCTGTGCTGAGTCCTGATTTGAGCTCTGTGAATACTCTATACCAGTCAGACTAGAGCCAGTGTATCAATGCAGTTTCCTCCTGAATGAAAACATCCTGCTTCCTGTTCAGTATGGTCTTTATAGTAGTACCCTGTAGTACAGTAACTCAGTTCTCTGGGAAACTCATACTTAGCGTGCTAGCAGCCAGCAGCCAATCCCTTTAAGTCCTGACATGACTGCTGTGAGAAGCACATGTGGGCCCTGAATAGACCAACAGAGATAAATAATCACTAAGCTTTGGCAACAACACACAACAAAGGAACATCCTTCACCAATGGTAGGGGAAGGGGGGAGCAATTAAAAAGCCCCCACCAGTGGATGTAGACCTGTTGTTTTTTCCAGTGTAGGGTTAAAGATTCCTGTAGAGATCCAACTGAGGAGCCCAATAAGGATCAGTGTTTGGTTGCTTTTCTTGATTGGCAGTCTTGATTTAGCATGCAAAGTGTTCCAATGTGTTGTTTGATTGTTTTCTCTGTAGTGGATGTCACGTTAATCCTTCACAAACCATTCATAAGGCCTATATACCATTCATGTGGTCCTCTGTAGCTCAGCTGGTAGAGCATGGTGCTTGTAATGCCAGGGTAGTGGGTTCAATCCCCAGGACCACCCATACACAAAATGTATGCACACATGACTGTAAATTGCTTTGGATTAAAGTGTCTGCTAAGTGGCATATTATTATATACATGCTTGATTTTCATATTAACATACTTCACTGTTAATTAGTCTGTGTTGTCATTCAGGGCTTTGACAACTGTTATTTTGAGGCGGGGTCAACTTTTTAAATAATTATTGAAATTAATAATAATAATAATAATATGCCATTTAGCAGACGCTTTTATCCAAAGCGACTTACAGTCATTCGTGCATACATTTTTTTTTGTGTATGGGTGGTCCCGGGGATCGAACCCACTACCTTGGCGTTACAAGCGCCGTGCTCTACCAGCTGAGCTACAGAGGACTTAAGCAGTCGTAAGTCCTTAGTCTTTCTGAATAAAAGAAGTTCCTAGTCAGTCAGTGGTAATAAACCATAATGGGTTATTATTGGGAGTGAGTGTCAGGGACCGGTACTGACCTAAAACCTGGTAATCGCATGGGGATGTTGTGTGTTCCTGAGACTCTAGGAAGCATTACTTTCAAGGGCTTAATCTCCTGAAGGAGGTTTACAGAGACTTACCCTGTCCACTTCCACCTCCTCTCTGACCAACCGTTTAGATCAGCTAGTGTGTGGCTGACTGACTCTCTGGCTGGACGCACCGATAGCTAGTCCTGCTGCAACGTCAGCTATCCTTTAGTTTCTGCAATGGCCAGGATCGTTCCTTAGTGATTTCACCACATGAATTACAGCAGGGATCCACCTAAAGCTTTTGGAGTTTTCTTGTGAACCATCAAGAGGAAGTAGAGACATATTTCAAGCCAGGACAGGGTATTGAACAGGGACCTAAAGGGAATCAGGTGGGACCCACCAGTGGCTCTCGACCCACCAGTTTGGGAATCATTCGTTGACTGGATGTAAGGCAGGACCTTGGGCCTGCAGTCCTATCTCTTCTCTCGTCTCTTTCCTTTAGCCCGTGGAGTAACTCGGCCTCAGGATGGAGTGCATAAAGCACATTATAAAGAGCATGGTCTCTGTGAAGGTGTGGGCGTACATCAAGGACTACTGTAAACGCAACGGGCTGCTGACGCTCTCGGTCATCGCCGTGGTTTCTGGCTGTGTGCTCGGCTTCTCCCTCCGCAGTTTAAACCTCTCCACGCAGGTACGGAGGCGCACACACACACACACACACACACACACACACACACACACACACACACACACACACACAGCTACTGAGCCATGCAACAAGGTTTTGGTTCCAGTGGGCCTAAGGTCTGTAGCACTCAGGCATCCTAGAGAGAGATGTGTTAACACAGAGGGCTTTGGGTCTTAGACAGGGGGATAGTGTTAACACAGAAGGCTTTGGGTCTTAGACAGGGGGATAGTGTTAACACAGAGGGCTTTGGGTCTTAGACAGGGTGATAGTGTTGACACAGAGGGCTTTGGGTCTTAGACAGGGGGATAGTGTTAACACAGAGGGCTTTGGGTCTTAGACAGGGTGATAGTGTTGACACAGAGGGCTTTGGGTCTTAGACAGGGGGATAGTGTAAACACAGAGGGCTTTGAGTCCATTGGGTCACCTATACAAATGTCTCTGGTGCAATGGGCTTTAAATCAGAAGTACAGTAAACCACTGAGGGGTTGGTTGAGAGGTCTTACACTGGGATAGTGCAGACAGAGACCAAAGAGAGAGTGACCAGCAAGATACTTTGACACCACATAAAACCCCGACTCACAAAGCTTTTACCATATTGTTGACATGGGAAACTACTCTGACTGCAGATCGATAACTGCTGTATTGAATTCAGAACAGATGCAATGCATCAATATCAACTGAACCATAACCTCCCAAGTGGCGCAGTGGTCTAAGGCACTGCATCGCATTACTAGCTGTGCCACTAGAGATCCTGGTTCGAATCCAGGCTCTGCTGTAGCCGGCCGCAACCAGGAGACCAATGGGGTGGCGCACAATTCGTCCAGGGTAGGGGAGGGAATGGGTAGAGCATTGCGTTTGCAACGCCAGGGTTGTGGGTTCGATTCCCACGGGGGGCCAGTATGAAGATTTTAAAAAATGATATTTGCTCGATAACTGTAAGTTGCTCTGGATAAGAGCGTCTGCTAAATAATGTAAATAACCTGCACATCCCAGTTATACAGTACTGATACACTTAGCTACAGAGGGGTTGGACTGCTCTACCTGGGTCAAGAGTAGCCATGGTAATCCAACCCTTGACATCTACTATTTCATTAATGGGTCAGCAGCTTCTAATTTTCTGACGCACTGTTGTAATCTGCATCAGCGCTAACTTCAACCTGTCAACAAATACACAGCATCAAGCTTAGCCCAATGGGAAAGCATGTCGATTGATTGATTTAACTTTATTAGTCATGTAAAAACTTAACAAAATGGACAACAAAAATATACATTGTAAAACATACTAGGTACCTTGAAGTGGACTTGTCTAAGCTGACCTGGTACAATGGAACCAATGGTGTAGTCCCTAAAGTGCAAATGTTGCCCACCTCATGTATTTGTAAGCATTTTACCTACTGTACGTATTTGCCCCAGGTCTGCCATGTACAACATGTCCCCTGACCCAGAGTGTTGTCTCCCCTCTCCAGGCTAAGATCTACTTCTCATTCCCTGGAGAACTGCTGATGAGGATGTTGAAGATGCTGATCCTGCCTCTCATCACATCCAGGTAACACATCATCACTACTGTCTGTTCCCCATGTCCCTACTGCTCTTCTCTCTGGTCTACACCAGAACCCATGCTACTTCAATAGAACGCTCTATACATTCTAATGGAATGAGATGCTAACCGAATACTTTATGAATTCTAATGGAATACAACACTAAATGACTTCTCTATGAGTTCTAATGAAAGAGAATGCTAACAGAATGCTCTATGAATCCTAACTCCCTGGCCAGTCTGATGTCGGGGCTGTCAGCCATGGACACTAAGGCCAGTGGACGGCTGGGGGTCCTTACCATCACCTACTACCTGTGGACCACCTTCATCGCCGTCATCGTTGGCATCATCCTGGTGCTGGTCATCCACCCTGGTACGGGCACAGAGAAGGACGGGCACAGAGGAGGGTCAGGGCCCGTCATGACTTCTGCTGACGCTCTGCTGGACCTCATCAGGTACATATACAGTGCACACATTCCCACGCACACACACACGGACGCACGCAAACACGCACGCACAGACAAACGCGCACGTATGCACATACACATGGTGAAGTATCTTGACGGCCATATTTGAATAGCATGGCCAACAGACACATTGCCTGTATCAGGAGTTGACTGTAGCAGATTCCCAAGTTTCCTGTCTTTAGTCAGTCTAAGATATTTAGCACCCACCTGTTCATCCTTAACATCTCTCATGGGACGAGATTAAAGATTTCCACAAGACTCAGACAAAAGATTCGGACTGCTCTGCTAATACAGACGTTTGAAATAATACAATATTTTCTATCTGTATCTTCCTGTCGCGGTCTGTGTGGATTAACCCATCAATAAACTAGTCAACCAGTAAACCAGTAAACTCAGTGAACTCCAGTTTACCTCAGCTAAGTATAAACCATAAAGGTTGTGTAGGGCCGGGATTCAACAAAAGGCGCGTTGTGTACAAGCGCATTGCATTATGGACAATGCGCCATGTAAAGGCAATGTTCCTGACGTTGGTGGAGATCGCATTCTTGGTAAATGCTGTGGATGTCGGCTCAAGTGTAAATTACCTTTAAAATTCAAGAGCAATGGGCTTAACCACAATGCGCCTTTGATTGAATCCCCAACCTGGATTCAGAGCATTTCGTATTATTTTGTACGCACATCTGGGACACTCCATTTAATATGATATGTTACGTTTCGTATGGTATGTATTAATTTGTGAACGTATGATATGTTATGAATTCTAGCTAGTTGCCTAATTTTTGCTAGCTGGGTAGCGATAGCTAGGCTAGGGGTTAGGGGTTAAGGTTAGGGTTAGGGTTAGGGTTAGGAGAAGGGTTAGCCTAAAGCAGGGTTCTCCAATTCCGGTCCTGGAGGGCCGAAACACCTCTGTTTTTCATCCTCTCCTTCTAATCAGGCGCTAATTCAGACCTGGGACACCAGGTGAGTGCAATTAACTACCAGGTAGAAATAAAAAACAGAAGTGTTTCGGCCCTCCAGGACCGGAATTGAAGAACCCTGGCCTAAAGGGTTAAGGTTAGGGGAACGGTTAGCTAAATAGGTTAAGATTAGGAGAAGGATTAGCTAACATGCTAAGTAGTTGCAAAGTAGCTAAAAAGTAGTAAGTAATAAAAAGTAGCTAATTAGCTAAAGTTGTCCGTGATGAGATTTGAACTCGCAAACTTTGAGTTGGTAGACGGTCGTGTAATACCCACCCATCCACCCATTTCAACCACCCTACTTTCGTTTTTGCCGTAAATAACCTTCTCTCTTATGTAACCATACCAAACATAACATATCATACTAATTTGAGTGTCCCGGATTTACATTTACTATGTTACGTCTAGTCTATGAGACCAGGCTGGAATGTCGGCCTAGGACCAGAAGGAAGGTAAAAGCAGGTATGTCACAAATCTGTTTACAAGACAACATTCAGGGAGGTTCCTATGATTAGAACCATTTAGCAAAGACCCTGCTAGCTAAATAGCCTGCTAATACTGACTCTTCAAGGAATCCGATCTTTTCTTGTTTGTTTTCTCTTCTGGATCATTAGCAGTGTTGTGGTTCTGTGTTGATTTACTCACCATTTTAAACCAGTAAACTAGTACAGAACCAGTGAACTCCAGTCCACCCCAATCCACCTAGTACAGCTAAATACTGCTACCTGGAAGCGTGTATTAAGTAGGGGTCTTTAGGTTGTAAATAGCATTTAAAACAACAACACCAGTACAAGGTCATTTAGCTCACGTGGCTTGAGGAATTTGTACCTTTGGGACGATTCTATTGGTTATATTGTTCATAAGCACCTCTGAAACAAGTCAACACCCCAGCGGACCATGTTAGTAATAGGCCTCATTAGGGGAGAGTGGGGTAATTTGAGCCATTTTTACATTCAGTATCACTTAGTCTAGGGAAATACAGTATTATTTCTAACAAAGAGATACATATATTTCAGGATGTATCCCTGGAAAAACATAGCTTTTCCCAAAATAAGTGGTCTCTTGGCACAACTTACCCCAGGTACAGTGCATTCGGAAAGTATTCAGACCCCTTCCGTTTTTCCACATTTTGTTACGTTGCAACCTTATTCTAAAATGGATTAAATTATTTTTTTCCCTCATCAATCTACACACAATACCCCATAATGACAAAGCGAAAACAGGTTTTTAGAAATGTACATAAGTATTCTGACCATTTGCTATGTGACTCGAAATTGAGCTCAGGTGCATCCTGTTTCCATTGATCATCCTTGAGATGTTTCTACAACTTGATTGGAGTCCACCTGTGGTAAATTCATTTGATTGGACATAATTTGGAAAGGCACACACATGTCTATATAAGGTCTCACAGTTGACAGTGCATGTCAGAGCAAAAACCAACCCATGAGGTCAAAGGAATTGTCCGTAGAGCTCCGAGACAGGATTGTGTCGAGGCACAGATCTAGGTAAGGGTACCAAAACATTTCTGCAGCATTGAAGGTCCCAAGAACACAGTGGCCTTCATCATTCTTAAATGGAAGAAGTTTGGAACCACCAAGACTCTCCCTAGAGCTGGCCTCCCGGCCAAACTGAGCAATCGGGGGTGAAGGGCCTTGGTCAGGGAGGTGACCAAGAATCCGATGGTCACTCTGACAGAGCTCCAGAGTTCCTCTGTGGAGATGGGAGAACCTTCCAGAATGACAACCATCTCAGCAGCACACCACCAATCAGGCCTTTATGGTAGAGTGGCCAAACGGCAGCAACTCCTCAGTAAAAGGCACATGACAACCCGCTTGGAGTTTGCCAAAAGACACCTAAAGGACCTCTGGTCTGATGAAACCAAGATTGAACTCTTTGGCCTGAACGCCAAGCGTCACATCTGGAGGAAACCTGGCACCATCCCTACGGCGAAGCATGGTGGTGGCAGCATCATGCTGTGGGGATGTTTTTCAGCGGCAGGGACTGGGAGACTAGTCAGGATCGAAGGAAAGATGAACGGAACAAAGTATAGCGATCCTTGATAAAAAAAAACGTACTCCAGAGCGCTCAGGACCTCAGACTGGGGTGAAGTTTCACCTGCCAACAGGACAACGACCATAAGCACACAGCCAAGACAACGCAGTGACGCTCCCCATCCAACCTGACGGAGCTTGAGAGGATCTGCAGAGAAAAATGGGAGAAACTCCCCAAATACAGGTGTGCCAAGCTTGTAGCGTCATACCCAAGAAGACTCGAGGCTGTAATCGCTGCCAAAGGTGCTTCAACAAAGTACTGAGTAAAGGATCTGAATACTTGAATAATGTGGTCCTCTGTAGCTCAATTGGTAAAGCATGGTGCTTGTGACGCCACGGTAGTGGGTTCGATCCCCGGGAACACCCATACGTAAAAATGTATGCACACATCACTGTAAATGTGATATTTCAGTTTTTAAAAAAATTGAAATGTGCAAAAAAAATCTAAACCTGTTTTTGCTTTGTTATTGTGTGTAGATTGATGAGGGGAAAAAAACTATTTTATCCATTTTAGAATAAAACTGTAACGTAGTAACATAACAAAATGTGGAAAACGTCAAGGGGTCTGAATACTTTCTGAATGCACTGTATGGGGTAAGTTGAGCCGTGGGTAAGTTAAGCTGCCTACAAATTTCTCTACTGAATGAAATATTACCACTACCTTTTTAAAACCATGTCTATCTTTATTTCCCAAACACAATTGAACACAATCACTTTTTAGTATTTTAATCATTTTAAGCATATTTTAACATAGACCAGGCCCTGTTGTTCAATCATATCCCAGCAATAATGCCTTGCATTACACCTGGGACGACAACACTTCAATTTGCTCAACTTGCCATGGTTCAACCATTGGCTCGACATACCCCAAGGCAAACATTTTGACTATATTAGCCCACACAGCTACAAGGATGCACTTTCATGCTAGGTTTAGGACCTCATATTGAAGCTTCTAGAGACCCCAACTGATGTATAGAACAATCTTTAAATTATCTACTTTGGTTTAGATACAAGCATCATGAAACCTCTAACACAATAAATTGATTTGATTTGGTTATAATCTGTTTTTTGGACCTAACTTGCTTACCACTTTTTCCATGTGGTTTCTTCCATCACAGACTCCATAAAATGATGACCTCTTCCTAAATATTTGGTCAAATTATTAATTTATTAACAAGGGTGGCTCATTTTACCCCTTTGGCTGAATTTACTCCAGTGACGGCTAAGTCTCTATCTTCTCAGAACACACCGTGTCCTAAATGCTTTACCCAGAACACACTGCAGGGCCGCCGAGGACCGGCAGTGGCTTAGGCCCTCCGTGTGAAGAATCCTCCAAAGCCCAGAGGATTATGGGTATTTTTAGTGAAAGCTGTGTACGGGCGGGCGGATGTAGGCTGTTTGACTGTCAGTGGTGCTTTAGATCATTTGTCACACGTCTGATAGGCTTACTGGCCCTGTGGCAGTGGCTGTAACATTATCCTTTATGAATACACCAGGACTCCTAATGATGAGGACTCTTAACCACCAACACAGGCAACCAGCCTGGTGATATTACCACATTGTGACATAATTCTTACAACTTTATTATTTCGACATGGCTTTTGTTATGAGGAAGACTGCAGAACAGCTGAAACATACTCACGGTGCAGGAGAATATGAGACCAACTATGAAGAGAAGTCTTTTGGTCAACAACGACCCTAGTCAGAGCAACGACTTTGGCTTTTGGGAAATTGAACCTTTTGGTTACCTTGTGTCTATCTACAGGTTTTGTGGTTTGGTTGACAGCTTAAAGGGATACTTCTGGATTTTGGCAATGATGCCCTTTATCTACTTCCCTAGAGTCAGATGAACTTGTGGATACCATTTTTATGTCTATGTGTGCAGTATGAAGGAAATTAGAGGTTGTTTCACAAGCCAATGCTAACTAGCGTTAGCGCAATGACTGGAAGTCTATGGGTATATGCCAGCATGCTCTCTGTCCAGGGTCTTGTTAAGTCTTTCTGAGACAGAGGACCTCTTGGCTTCTGGCCTGACCAGGAGAAATTGACCCTACTCAGGATAAGACTGAGACGATGACAGAAAGCAGATACCCCAACCTTCTGACATCTTACATACTCATAGAGATTTCGCCCAAAAAATCGGAACAAATCAGATCTGACAATATGACATGACACATCATATAAACTGTTTTATTATCACCCCATTACTCAGGGAATAACTCCAATCATACATCCAATAATGTTGTAGATTTATGGTTAACATGTTATTCTACCTCTCTTTGACAGGAACATGATTCCCTCCAATCTGATAGAGGCAACTTTTCAACAGTACCGTACAGACCTGGTGCCCATTGTGGCCTCCAGTGTGGTAGAGTCCCAGGCTAACTACGTCTACGTGATGCCCGACCACAACAACCCTCAGCTGGGCCACCCTGTCTTCCTGGAGATCACCCCAGCTCCAGACATCAAGTACAAGATCGTCCCTGGCCACAGCTCTGGCATGAACGTACTAGGGATTGTCATATTCTCTGCTACTATGGGTGAGACACACACACACACACACACACACACACACACACACACACACACACACATAGTATGCATGAATGAACACACACAAATGACACACTGGATACACGAGTACACACACACACACCCTTCCAATCACCCCTGTTTCTGACCCTGTGTGTTTTCTCTGTGCAGGCCTGCTCCTGGGGAAGATGGGAGAGAGAGGTGCTCCACTGGTCAATGTGTGTCAGTGTGTCAATGAGTGTGTTATGAAGATCATCACTGCTGCCATGTGGTGAGTTGGTGAGACACACACAGCAAAGTCACTTGTCTGAACTCTCCTTCACATGTAAAGGTCTGGTAATCCTGATCTGGCTAGATTGAGATTCATTTAGATTTAAATTAGAAGTGGACCTCACCAACACACACACACATCTTCCCCCCTCCTCTCTTCCCCTAGACCTTAGTCATTAGCTCAGTATAAGTCTGCATTTCAGGAGTGGCAGGTTATCAAGGTGAGCCAGGTCGACCCAAAGCTGCTTTAGTTCTTAGAAAGCCCAAAACACAGGGGGCATGACACCGCCTAGTGGACAGAGACAGGATAACAACAAGGGCCCAGTCCGCACATTGCTTGCTCGCCTAATCTATTTCCAGGTATTTCCCGTTCGGCATTGTGTTCCTGGTAGCGGGGAAGATCCTGGACATGCATGACCCCGCCCACCTGGGAGAGAAGCTGGGGATGTACTTCATCACAGTGTTAGCCGGCCTGTTTGTCCACGGACTCATCCTGCTGCCGCTCTTCTACTTTATAATCACACGCAAAAACCCCTTCACCTACATCAGAGGCCTGCTACAGGCTCTGGTCATCGCCCTGGCAACCTCCTCCAGTTCCGCCACCCTGCCCATCACCATGAAGTGTCTGTTGGAGAACTGTGGAGTGGACAGACAGATCGCCAGGTTTGTCCTTCCAGTGGGAGCCACCATCAACATGGACGGGACAGCCCTCTACGAGGCCGTGGCAGCCATTTTTATCGCGCAGGTCAACGAGTACGAACTAGACTTTGGTCAGCTGGTCACCATCAGGTGAGGACTGTCTACACAAGCACTCACACACACCCTTAGTTACTTTCTGTCACTGCGCGCACACACACACACACACACACACACACACACACACACACACACACACACACACACACACACACACACACACACACACACACACACACACACACTCTGACCCTGCTCTTGTCTCTTCAGTATCACAGCAACAGCAGCCAGTATCGGGGCTGCTGGGATTCCGCAGGCGGGTCTGGTTACCATGGTGATCGTCTTGACCTCCGTGGGGCTGCCGCCCGCTGACATCACACTGATCGTGGCCATTGACTGGGTCCTGTAAGTGTCTGACCGTGAGAGTGTTTTGGACTGAGTCCTGTGAGCATCTGACAGAAACGCACTATAGATACTTTAAACAGTAAATATAAGTTCCCTCTGTTGGTTGTGTCTGGCAGGGATCGTTTCCGGACCATGATCAATGTGTTGGGAGACGCCCTGGCTGCAGGCATCATGTGTCACCTCTGTAAGAAGGACTTTGAGAGGAGGGAGTCAACCTCTAACTCCGGCCGGGTAACAACTATATACCACCTTTACACTGACCCCCGCCCTAACCCCTCTACAATACAACTATATACCACCTTTACTCTGACCCCCGCCCTAACCCCTCTACAATACAACTATATACCACCTTTACACTGACCCCCGCCCTAACCCCTCTACAATACAACTATATACCACCTTTACACTGACCCCCGCCCTAACCCTCTACAATACAACTATATACCACCTTTACACTGACCCCCGCCCTAACCCCTCTACAATACAACTATATACCACCTTTACACTGACCCCCGCCCTAACCCCTCTACAATACAACTATATACCACCTTTACACTGACCCCCGCCCTAACCCCTCTACAATACAACTATATACCACCTTTACACTGACCCCCGCCCTAACCCCTCTACAATACAACTATATACCACCTTTACACTGACCCCCGCCCTAACCCCTCTACAATACAACTATATACCACCTTTACACTGACCCCCGCCCTAACCCCTCTACAATACAACTATATACCACCTTTCACTGACCCCGCCCTAACCCCTCTACAATACAACTATATACCACCTTTACACTGACCCCCGCCCTAACCCCTCTACAATACAACTATATACCACCTTTACACTGACCCCCGCCCTAACCCCTCTACAATACAACTATATACCACCTTTACACTGACCCAGCCCTAACCCCTCTACAATACAACTATATACCACCTTTACACTGACCCCAGCCCTAACCCCTCTACAATACAACTATATACCACCTTTACTCTGACCCAAGCCCTAACCCCTCTACAATACAACTATATACCACCTTTACACTGACCCCCGCCCTAACCCCTCTACAATACAACTATATAATACCAGGTTTTCGTGTGTTTGAATCTGCTCTTTGACTAACTGTGTGCTCTCTCTCTGTGTGTGTTATGTGTGTGTTTTGTGTATGTGTTTTGTGCAGAGGGACACACTGATCTCCTTCGGTGGCCAGAGTGTCCAGAGTTGTGCCCTGTCCGAGGCTCCTCTCATGGACTATGCCCATCGCTGTGACTATGTCTACGAGGTGGAAGGTGACTGTGTCACAGAGAGATCTGGCCCCACCTACAACCTGTGTCAGGTTTAAGAGAAACCTGTTCCCTGTTACAACCTGTGACCTGTGTTACAAAGAAACCGGTCCCCGGCTGCAACCTATATCTCAGAGAAACCGGTCCTCTTCTACATGCAGTGTCACAGACAAATCCGTCCCCTGCTACAACCTGCGTCACAGACAAACCTGGTGTTTGGTCTGAGACACTTTCACTAGACAGACAGCAGGGAGCACTGCCCGCCTTCAACACCATTCTATTTATAGTAATATACATACAGTTGACTCCTGATATCAATGGCTATGGACTGGGGAATTACAATGGGACTGTGAAACAACCCTGCACTGAAACAGAGTTTGCACTTTTCTAATGTGCATTTATCAGGGGTTGACAGTGATGTCTTCATAATGTTGTCTAGTGGATCAGTTGGTTGGAGCAGGATGTTCCCACACCACAAATGGTTTTGGGGTTGATTCCCACATGTGCAGTAAGTCGCTTTGGTTAGTGTCTGGTAAATGTTCAACTTTTTACTGTCTGATGATCACACCTGTGCCATGATGAGGAAGCAGGTTTTCCTAATCATTTTGTGACTGGATTTCTAGGCTACTGTAACCTACCAGGGACTTATAGGTCCACCAAGGTGCATGTTATGTCAGAGTCAGTTTTCCTTCTTTAGTTAAATGCAGATTCCGCTCAGGACGCCATTTTGGTGTCGCAGTGTACTGCAGCACAGCGCACTTTTTAGGCAACCAGATGGCATTATGGACACCATTTTGGTTTTATGTACTAGTGACTGTAAAGATAGATGACGAGCACTTTCAGAGGTTTTTTAAACCTTGTTTGGTGTCAGAATGGTTGTGGATACCTTCATGAAGTTACGATATTCTAGGGCAAGGGTATTCAACTCTTACCCTATGGTCCGGAGCCAGCTGGTTTTCTGTTCTACCTGATAATTAATTGCACACACCTGGTGTCCCAGGTCTAAATCAGTCCCTGATTAGAGGGGAACAATGAAAAAATGCAGTGGAACTGGCTTCCAGGTCCAGATTTGAGTTTGAGGGTTCTAGAGATATATACCAGTAGTTTAACACACAACTGTGAGTGTGAATATTGATTATTTAGTAATAGTTTTAAAAAAGATGGTTTAAACTTAAATGTTGTCAGTTTAAAGGAGTTGCCTTAAAATGTTCTCAATAACCGCTCACCGTTGCTGAGAATGTTGCAACCATGAAAGTGTTGAAATTGATGACTTTATACTGAAAATCAGTTTTAATATACAGTCAGTGACTAGGGGTAAACCCTCTAATCTCTACCTCTGTCAACTGAATTATAACAAATACAGAATGGATAACTGATATTTCAATGTCTTATTGGTAGATTTACAGTAGATTTCACTGCGATATACATCTTTGAACACCTAGGATCTTGAAGAAACTCCTCAAAATGTTTTTTATACAAATGAAAATTATTTGTGTACATGCAAGATACTTGTCTTGTACATTGTTATTTTCTAATAAAATTTGAAGTGTAATGATTTGAGCATAACTTTTTAACCCACCCTCTCTCACAGTTCACAAATTAAGCCAAAAAGATAATCCTGCTCAGCTTTATAAAGCTTTCAGATATTTTATTCAAGGTAATTGTGTGTTAGACAGGTTCTGAACAGCCTTCATTCAAAACCAAACAGAGGAAATCAAAATGAATCCATTAAAAAAGTCAAAAGGAACACTCCAACACGAAAAATTTACAAACATGTAAAACTACATACAACACATCAAATAAATTACATCTTTGTGCCTCCACTGCTGTTGCCACGTTCTCCCATCTCTCCCACATAAATTAAGGCTAAAAATAGAGGTTAATCATAATCATGTAGTTATTCCAGTAAACCCACTAGCATTTCAACATACTAGCACTCTGAGAAGCTAGCAAATCAAGGACTGTTTAGTAGAACTCAATAGAAAATTAATATCAAAAGGATGAGAACAAAATAAGTGAACCACTCCCTCTAGTGCTGTTTCTGGTTCAGAATAACCACTCCCTCTAGTGCTGTTTCTGGTTCAGAATAACCACTCCCTCTAGTGCTGTTTCTGGTTCAGAATAACCACTCCCTCTAGTGCCGTTTCTGGTTCAGAATAACCACTCTCTCTAGTCCCGTTTCTAGTTCAGATTAACCACTCTCTTGCGCCGTCTCTGGTTCAGAATAACCAATTCCTCTAGTACAGTTTCTGGTCCAGAATTTTAAAAAAGACCTTCCACATATTGCACTCTGTTCAGGACTGTTCCGTGAGAACAAACATCTAGATATTTTGATTTTCTTCTCCTTAAAAACACAATTTCAATAGTGACTAGCTTGAGGCATACAGAGAGGATATTCCTGTGACAGGAGCGTGTGGAAACTAGTAAGGCTTTGCAGATCTGAAGATAGAAGACAGATCACAATACATTTAGAAGAGAGAATTAAAAAGTCTGGTTTCTAAGCCGTTTCCAGAACACAGATGAAACCTACTCCTGGACATAAGATCATTCTCAATGGAGAATCTCTAATGAAAGTCCAGGAGACAAGCCCCTAATTTTCAAAAACAAGTGTCACCCATTATGGTATAGGTTAGGATTGTGTGAGGGTAAACTAATCCTAGATCTGCAGCAGCAGCAGCAGAAAACTATTCTAGAGCCAGTTCTCTGATCCTGTGGTGGTCAGTTATTTTATCTCCAAACAGACTACAGTACTACACTCTCAAACCTACATAGAATAAAGGCCTTTGTGATGAAAAGTGCACAAACAAGATATGTTAACAAAAACAGATGTAGGAATATTCTCGATGTCAAACCAACCGCCAGTCTTCTTCCCGATCAGAGTCAGAGTTCTCTGATTTTAAGTCTAAAAACGTCACTTAAGTACAACTGGGTTTAGCATATTTTATTGTTTTCAAGCTTTTAGGTTATTGCACATTTCTAAAATGGCAGACGGTTTCTCAGGATGACTGTGTTTGTTGGCTGCAAGGCAGACGTGATCAAAGGGTCATAAGTGACTCAAACTGCCTCCTGCAGTACCTGTATTAGAACAGACTATTCCTCATCAGTAACTCGTAGTTCCTATTAACATGAAACAAGACCATTTCAGTACCTTAACTGTAGGACTCCCATCTTTGAAACCCTGAAAGCTCTCTGCCTCATGTTTCCCACAACAGTTTGAATGAAAATAAGGCCAACGTCTGAGGTGTTTTACACTGGAGACTGCATCCTCCTGCCCTTCAGACCATCTTAGAGAGTCTAGCTAACCCTTAAGTTGACCATTCAAACGTCCTGTAATATTGCCATGGGAGTGGGGTGTGTAGCGTCATACTGTAGTATCATCGTATTAGCAGTCTGGTGTCTGTAGCTTCCCTCAGCTTCCACAATCCTAACAGAAAACCCCAAACCAAAGCTGAAGAAATAAAAGAAACAAACCAAAAACATTGAGTCAAACCTAAATAAAATTTAATGATTGCATATTCAAAGTAAAACAATCAAAACAAAGGACGAAAAACAAACCAAAGCAACAAAAATATATACCAACAAAAATAAATCACAAAGGCCATCAATTCTTATTTAGCCCGAGATGAGCATTACAAATCACGCTCTCCAACTCTCCGATCAGTAATCTACGCTTCGACAAAAATGTTTTGTTAGTTTCTCTCAGAAAGAAAATTCAAGAAAAACATCAAAGATATTAAAGAGAAAACCTTTTTTTTTTATACAAAAACAGCAAACTGGATGAGAGAGAGAGCAGTGTTGCGCCACTGTGTTAGATTCAGCCTTAGTACCGGTTGTTCAGATGTCCAAACTATTACTGGTGGGGGGAAATAAGTCATAACGGTAAGCATCTGCCCACTCACTGTATAAATCAGGGTCCGTATTCACAAAGCCTCTCAGGGGACTGAATGCTGATCTAGGAGCAGCTCCTCCCTGTCCATAGAAATCCTACTTATTAATGATCGATAAGACCAAACTGATCCTAGATCAGCATGTGAATATGGGCCCTGGGGCAGTTAGATCATATCCTTCCATTTCTTTGGTCCTTCTTAAACACTTTCCTACTTTAAAATCTCCAGACCTTTTTACATGGCCTCTCAGAGAAACAACTTTTAAAAGACCCCCAAAACGGGACACACGCTGCTATGTAAATGGTACCATCCAGTACCTAACTTACTGTGTATAAAACGGATTCTGCAAGGTGAACGAAGACCAATGTATGGTTTACGTCAAAACAGCTGACTATCGCTCTGACATTATATAATGAGGATTTAAAAAGTGCTTTTCTTTTAGAATGGTTGGAGACAGTGGATGGGTTGACAGGGTGTGCGGGTGGTAACTTAAGGCACCTATTTCTACACTGGAACCAGCGTCTAAGACACAGCATGCTTTCTTCTACAGTGGATCCTAGATGTATGAATGTAGTGCATCCTTCTCCAAGTCCCTACCGTGGTTCTACCACTCATATGGCACATAGTGACAATAGTTTAGTCTCACAGAAAAACAATCTACTCTTAAATTGTGAAATTGGTCACCATATCAGGATAGAGGCCCCACAAACATTTAGAACTACATTTGGAGCATCCCAAAGCATGAGTAAAAAAAACAAGAGAAATATCAAACTCAGCCTAGACTCTCTGTTAGACTAGTACAAAGATGCAGAGTGAGAATGGGCTTAGTGAGATAACGCTATAAAAACAAGTTTGTTTTGTCAAACTGAGGCAATTTACACCTCTACCCTCCATATTAGAAGCCTGGCGTGAGGTTTCTCGCCTCCCTCTCCCTCTATCCACCCCACTCTCTCTCTCTCTCTACTTGTGGCCTTTGCTGGTCTTGAACGACACCTGTAGGATCTTGTCCCCGAGGCGGTAACCGTTGAGGCTGCCGATCGCCATGGCGGCCTCCTCGTAGTTCGTCATGGTAACAAAGCCGAAGCCTTTGCACTTGTTGGTGTTGAAGTCGCGGATGACCTTGACGTTGGTGACGGCTCCGAAGGGGCCAAACATCTGCCACAGGATGCCCTCGTCAGCGTCCTGGCCCAGGTTGTAGATGAAGATGCACCAGCCAGAGGTGGCATTCCCTGGCACACTCACCCCAGACATACCGCTCATATGGTCCACAGACATTGGAGAAAACCTGGGGGAAGACAGAGGGGGCTAGGGTTACCACTCTGTCTCTCTTCACTGATGTTGTCCACACTCATTTTAGAGAACCTGAGAGGGGACAAAGATTCCAGTGTGTGTTACCTGAATCTCTGAGCCTGGTGGTGAACTGGCCCTCCAAAGCGTCGTCCCTGGTTGTGGTAGAGCTGAGATATGAGCTGAGTGTTCTTGGCCTGGTTGGGGCTGGCAGCAAACTTCACTGTGATTGGCTCAGCGGATCCGGGGGGCTTCTGTCCGTTCAGGTCTTTGATGGCGTCCTCTGCCTCCGCTCGCTTGTCAAACCGAATGAACGCCACCCCACGAGACAGGCCTGGGAGAATAAATAAACAGGATAGGTTCAGCTGAGAGACAGACGAACACACTGAGGCCTGGTTCTAAAGTGTGTGTGTGTGTGGTCCTACCCGAGGCCTGGTCAACCAGCACACGGGAGTTGATGATGCGTCCGTAGCGAGCAAACATGTCCTCCACGTCTTTCTGGGTCATGGTCTTGGGCAGGCCACTTATGTACAGGTTGGCATCTTTAATGGTGTCAGAGCTCGGCCGCGCATACGAGACCTAACACCAGAGGGCAGCACAGAGCACATTAAATACCACTGACAATACCCGCAGTAGTACACACTAATTACATACAACCCTGAATTATATCTTGCCAGAAATTAGAAATTACTTTAAAATAAAAAGTAGATGTTGGAAGGTTGTTTGAATTGAATTATGTTTGTATTTTTATGCAATCCTGGTAAATTCATGTTTTGTAGTTGTCCTAGCTGTTCTATGGTTTGCTTTTGATAGAGCCTTCATGAGTAATATCTCCAAAACCAGAACATGAAATAGTGATAAGGTGCATTGAATGACCACTGTGGCTTTTACGTAGAAAAAACCATTCCCTGAGTGAGCTGTGATGGGCAATATAGAAGTAGTACCTCCCGAGTGTTCAAAATTACGTAAACAACAATTATAGTAACAAAAATCAACGTAGGGAAAAACATTCTCAGGAGTGAAAAGAAATGTCATACCAAACCAAATAAAAAGTTCTAAACTTAAATGAACGTGTAAAAAATTCAAACTGAAGTAGTGGTGCTGAATAAATAAATAAAAATAAAGTTTAGTCTTCAATAAAGTTGAAAATACAGTTACATTTCTCTACTCCATCCGTCAGAAGCGGGGCCAGTGGGCTATCAGATGTTGTCTTGTCCAGTCTAATATAGACCCATAGTAACGCCGATTCCCAAATCCAACCCTTGGCACTACATGCCCATCTGAAACGACTGGGTTGGTATTAGCGAAAATGTCACAGAGCCTATCAAAAGAGCAAAGAAAGGCTAACATAAGACCATATTGCTAACACCCACGCAATCCTTTCAGATCCATAGCGGGGCCTAGGAGGAAGTGTCTAGGGGTGGATTTGACATTCCGCCTCAGTAGAGAAGGGCTAGTTTAATGACATGACATGGTTGGGTTGACACAGAACTGTAGGAACACCTTATTGCACGTTACCTTGATAGTTTTAGACTGTAGCCTTAGTCCATTCAGAGTATTGATAGCTCTTTCTGCATCGCTAGGGGTAAGATAGTTAACAAATCCGTACCCTAAACTGTGGCCTAGAGAAAAAAAAAGGAAAACAATAAAAGAAAATAAAAAAACGTTGTATAGTTTCAAAAAAATCGGCACACTGGTCAAATAAATGATTAAACAAAACAAATCTACACAGTGCATGCTAGTCGTAAAACAAGTGACAAAGAAATAGGCTTCGACCAAACTGGACTGTTTTCCTGGAATAAGGAAAGCCGAGCCCCTCACGGACAGACAGAGAGCATGAGTAAATATCTACACCAACAGCTTTATACAAAATACAACTATTTGGAAAACCTCAAATGTCAAGTTTAGGAGGACAAATGTTCAAATTGCAGCGAGACATAGTCCTAGGCCTAAACCGAACATATTACATAAAGCTATTTGCATAGATACTACAAACATCTCACCACAAAGTTACTAGTGAGAATGTCAAAGCTGTGTCTCATCAGCAGTTCTCATACACCTACAAGAGGCAGACAGGGCAGGATACCAGTTAGTTTACACACTGACTGGCTGGCTAGGACAAACATTCTTATGGAGGTGTCCTTCGTAATATTTCAACACTTATGGGGGTCCCCACGGTTTGTTAAGGGTGTGTCTAGCACCCTGGGGTACACCTGAGTCGTGTTCAGTAGGACGCAACATAGCAAAATGTTCACTGAACACACCCCTGTAAATGTGAGCCCTACACGCAGCAGACCAACTCCTCCATTCATTCTACTCCAAGGTCAGAGGTCACACACCTGTAGTGCATTGTGGGACAAGGTGTTCCGTACCTGCCACTTTGTCCCGTATGAGCTTGGCGGACTCCACCTCGCCAATGCTGCTGAAGAGGCTGCGTAGCTCATCCTGACTCATGCTCTGGGGAAGGTAGTTGACTATCAGGTTAGTCTTGGCATCCGTCACCTCATCTCCTCCTCCCATGTGATCCTCGTAGCCGTTGGACATGTCATACACCTCCTGGGGAAGGGGACACAGTTAAGGAAGAGAAAAACAGGCATTCGGAAGTAGGCCAGCATGGCTGAAACGTCCATGGTATGCAGACCAATCAGAAAAGGAACACAATAACAACATTTTTACATGCAACATTGTAAACATTGCATCCTAATCTACAGAGCCTGATTATGTTTATTATTATTATTATCATCAATTTATTGGCTGGCAGCAGTGACTGTAGCACCTCTTACCCACAAGTTAATCACCTGCAGTACTTTCACAGCCAGACCCAACTCTCAGCTACTCTCTACATACTCGTCTGACCACGCATTATACCAAGACAACCCCCTGACACTGCTCTGGGATTAGAGGTTGAGACCACAAACGTCACAGAACATTGAGATTATTATGTTGTGTAGAATGGAGAAACTCCCCGTCAGCCCCTCCACATTTCATTTCTGCAGCGTTCTAAACACTTCATCCCACTGACCAAGCCTTGTTGCTGTGGTCTGACAGAGGTCTAAACAAGGGGTAACCAACCATTCCTCCTGGAGAGCTACTGGGTGTGCAGGCTTTTGCTCAAGCCCTGCTCTGAGGCTTTGATTAGTAGAATCAGCCATCATGGGCGTTAGAACAGGCCTTGTGGGCAAATGCCTGCTTACCCAGCAGGGGTCACGCTAACGCAAAATTCTGTGTTTTTCACGCAGAAAATAAAAAAAACATAAGAATATCTTACCGTGTTTTGTAAAAGCAAATCTAAAATGCTTATTGTAATTTCTGCTTCCGTTGCACTTCAATGTAAAACTCATAGTAGGATTTTTTTATGGTCTGCGTTTTGAAAATGCAGATTTCTGAACTCTAACGCGAACCCTGCCCAGTGGGAAGAGGGTTAGCTAGCAGCTACCACTGTTCTGAACATTGCATCCCCTTGACCAGGCCTCAGTGCTGTGTTCTGACAGAGCTCCATTCATTCAGAGGGGCTATCTGATTGGGTATTCATGTGGGGTAAGATGGTTAGCCACCCAGCAGGCCTTTGGATGAATGAAACTCCTGTATTTCACTAGTAAACATGATGACCAATACCGATGGTCTGACTATGAGGATCATTTCATTGTATTTTTCTCTGTTTCAGAACACTAATAAATATTTATACCAGTATGTTAATAAGCGTAGGTACTCAAACACTTCCTCTTATGATGCTTGTGTATAGAGTGATATTGAAAGCCCAGTGTTGTTTATCAATACATTCGAAAACCATGGGCCACCGCATAACATATTAATGCACTCCGATTAAATAGCTAGCTAGCAATTACTTTAGGACTGATCTTCCTCTAATGGGAAAAGTCATACTCACTTTTAGGTACCTGATGTGGCCTCTTCGAACAGCCATGAAGACCCCTCACTGCTCCCAAAGCTGGAGGAGGTATCACAAACAAAATAATGTATTTGGGGCAAACAAAAAAATAATAGGGGTGAGGAGGGGGCAGGGTTTGTTTTCAAACAAAATGAATAATGAGTTTAACAAAAACGAAACGGTAAATTGAGCCTCCCCCTTCTGACGCACCTGTGAAGAAGAGCAGAGAATTATTTTGTTAGCCCCCGAGTAGCTAGCTATCTTACGACCACTAAGCTATTACGACTGTTGCATGTTTAACTAGCAACCAGCGTTTCAGTTGACTGGAACATTCAAACCAGTACTGTATACAGTAGCTAGCTAGCAAGTTAGCGAACTAACTTATTAACCAAATTTAGCTATCTGTACTGTAGCTAGATTTGGCCTGTTTGTTGTAGCTAACGTTACGCCTCATCGAACACTACTGTAGACAAACAATAGTTAAACTTAAAATCATAACGTTAGTTACTAGTTTGTGTGAGCTAGCCAGTATCTAGCGAGCTATATAACGTTAAATACCTAGTGGCTAGTTATCTAGCACTTTGGTGTAAACACTTTGGTTGCTTACTAGCTGGCTAGTTACGATCTTTACCGCGCAGTAATACTAGTTAGTAGCAGCTAGTTTTCTAACTGCAAAAGGAAGAAAAAAAACAGTTGCTGACGCATATTAAATGGACTTGGCCCTGGGGAAACGTTTGTTATCCAGCTAACTTGCCGCTAAATAGCGAACACATTGTTACAGGAAATAGTTACCTAACGTTAGCTAACTAGGCCACATGCCCACCGTTCCCTTATTTTCGCGAGCTTGTGTTGAATGCTGTCCCTCTCTCGCACCTAAAACCCCGACACCCTGTTCAGGGCCTTGCTAGCTACAGTTAGCCACCTAGCTAGATTAGCCAAATTGGCTAAAATGTGCTCAAATTTCATTCTATCTGTGGTTAGCTAGCAGACACTGGTGGGCCTCCAAAACCGCATGGGTGGCATTCGACTTTGTTGTAGCAGAGCGAAATGGTAAATAAACAACTGGATTACTACGAATATAGCTAACTTACCAGCTTTTCGTTGTTGGTGCTTTCGCTGTTCTTGTCTGAAGCCTTTCGTTCCGTTTTTTTTTTTGCTAGCTAACGATAGCTGACAGCTCCTTCTCGCAGGCACCAAAACCAAGGGAGGACCGCTGACGAAAACAGTTCCACGCCCACCTCTGCAGATTATTTGTTACTGCCCTTGCCAATTACAGATGTGGTTACATAGCTGGGTGATTCTGCAACTACGGGCACTTTATGTCCTCGGGTCAATTTTGGGGATTTTATTTAAAAATATATTTGCATTCTTTATTTGTTATGTTCACAGTACAATCACCCCAGATTGTTTTAACACCTCTCTATCAAGTATTTTAGCCACTTTTCAGAAGTATTTTATACCTCAATTTCACTGTTTTGCCCTTGTCCCTGACCGACTTTTGAGCTTCTACTATGTTTTTCTATGCGAAAACATGATATAATCTGTAATTATAATGTTATCTACTAGAGAAAGAGTCAATTAAATAAAATCTATATAAATATTTATTGTGAGTATGCCCTTTCTATTGTTTTTTGTACAAAATATACGTGTGCTTTGGTAGTGGTGTCATTTCCACCTCTGAGGGCAAATTCCTCATTAATAAAGTTTTTTCAAGATAATGTTAATTTAGTTACCATGGAAACTTGTTGTGACGTTGAAGCGCATGGCTGCAGTGGACAGTTGTTCCAGATGTGATGTCCAGAAGTTGAAGAAAAATCTAGGTAAATATAGCTTGTGTAGAGAATATTTTTATTGTCAGTCATTTCCAAACAGGCTATAATTTCTTTAATTTGTGCTAGAACTTAGTAGTTAGTGTAAACTATATGCTAGCTGTAATACTAGCCAAAGCATGCTAAGCAGTCTGCCATTTTTCTCCAAAAACTGTAGAAGTGTCATTTCCATCACAGTCATTTCCATCACAAACTTAACTGTAGTGGAATTGATAGAACGTGGTGGAAATTACAAAAAATCGTTATGTTATTAGTTTTTACTTTAGGCTTATTTAATCATGTTTTAAATTAATTTAATCTAGAAAATGCTCCAAGGTGTGCACAAGTTGAAAACTGAAATAGTATTTTTCTTTGTTTTAGAAGATGCCACAGAAAACAGCACAGATGTCACAGACATCGAAAAACATTTTAAATGATCCTATACGATACCAGGAACATCTGCAAAAAGACAGGGAGAGATACTGGAAGAAAAAAAAGAAAGGAGAAGTGAAATCTATCTCTGAGCTTACAAAGCGAGAACTAAGACGCAAGAGAAGGCAATGGAAATGCAACCGACAGAATAGAAGACAGACTTTAAAGAGAACAGTTGCAATGGAGACCTACCTATCAGGCATCACACCACCTCAGTCACCAGATTACTTGCAGCCAGAACATGAGGCCAACATACCTGCCCCTAATTTACCTGCCCCTGATGCATGCCCTGATACCCCTTCCTCATTGTCTGCAAAAGGAATGAGAAGTCGAATACTTGCTGGAAGGAAAAAGCTTGGAAGAGGTCGCTCAAAAACATACAGAGATCTTTGCATGACAAGTGTCAAACTTGATAAAGCTTTATGGAAAACTGAGAAATACAAAAAAAGGTATGAACTGTTGAAGAAAATGGAGAGACAAGATTCCCAAAGACAAAATAGCAAATGAAGGGAACTCCGAAGAACTTAAGAAGGATTGTATTATTTTCAAAATGCCATCATTGCAGAGTTAAAGCAAAAGTATCAATACATGCGCAGTGCCAAGGACAAACAAGGGGCTTCAAAAATGCTCAGAGGCAACTTCCTGAGAAAGTATGTCCTGGTCAAAGACGCAAACTGAGAATTTGGATGTTCAGCAAAAGCAATGAGGGCAAATGAAAACAGGCCAACAAGTCTTCAATACTCCAGGAAAAAGCAATGTAACATAATTAGCACAGCCACAGATAAGAAAATTACTAAATTCTATGAACATGATGACAACAGTAGAACAACAGGGAAAAAGGACATACTAACGAGGAACATGAAAAAAAAAAACAGAAGCGCTTCTTGAATGGCACAATTCAGAACCTTTATCAGAAGTTTTAAGAGGGAATATTCAGAGATTAAAATATCCTACTATGAATTCTGCAAAATACGTCAGTTTGGGATGTCAAGCCAACAGTCCAGGATTGGGACACATGCCTCTGCAAAACTCACGCAAACATCCAGTTCATGGCGGACAAACTACAGGATCACCAAGTGATCAGCTGCAGCAACATTGAGAACCTTATTGAGTATTTGTGTTGTGAGGACCTAAAGAAAGAGTGCATGTACAGAGAGTGCTCCCTTTGCTAAGCAAAAGAGCTTCAACATCTGACTTTGATGCTGGTGAGCAGACATGGTGGAGAGATAGAGAAGAAAAACGGAGAGTGAAACATGGAGAAGTTCACTGTACATTTGACAGTAAAAGAAAAGGTGTGTGGCACACTGCAGATTCTACTGGAGGACTTCTCCGAAGGATTGAAAGAGAAGTTGGAGAAACACATGTATAACATTCGACACCAATACTCCAAACTGAGAGAATTGAAAGAGAATCTGCATAAAGAGGAGATCATCGTGCATATTGACTTTGCAGAGAACTACCTGTGTAAATACACCAGTGAAATCCAGGCAGTTCACTTTGGTGATTCTCACAAGAAGGTGACCCTCCACACCTGTGTTGGATATACCACAAATGATAATGATACAGTTTCACTTTGCTCACTGAACTCTTCTATGCGGATGACCCCTTTGCTATCTGGGCCCATCTCTCAAAAACACTGGCCTACTTCCTTGAGCTCTACACATCGGCTACTTTTGGAATCTTACTTTGTCTTATATTAATTAAATGTTTAAAAATGGTTGTTGTTCAAAATGTTTGCAATAAAATAATGTTATGTTTTTTACATATGTCATTTCCACCACAACCATATTTTTTTGGTAAATTAGTATATTATGTATAATTTACATTGATTGATTTGTTTCAGATAGGGAAATCATATGGTTGTTATCATAATCTCAAAAAAAGGTTGGGTGGAAATATCTTATTATTCATGATAAATAAATGTTTTCAGCTGTCACAAAGGCAAGTTTATACGTTCAGGCGTCGTGTTGAATTGTTAATATTAGGAAAACCTTAAAAATCCTTTAAAATAATATTAAATACAAGTTAATATAAAAATGTATAAGGAATGTGTTATAAATTAATTGTATGATATTTCATTTTCAATTAAAATGGATGTTTAATGGCGTGATGGAAATGACATTTGTCTATGGCTATCTGAGAAAAATGACAAAAATATATACATTCCTGAACAGTACGATCGCAGCCAATATCAGATATTGTTTCTAGACAAATCAAAGACAATTATAATACTGTTAAAATGGTGTTTCAATAAGTTTTAATTTCTGAAAGCTTGCAGGGCCAAAGTGCAGAATCACCCAGCTACATACCGGAAAATTACAATCAAACGATAGCCACACAACACAGCACAGTATCAACCAGTTAATTACTCAAAAGCCATGCAGGGTAGTGTAAAAGTATCTTTAATATGTAGTCTGCAGGATATGTGACATATTGACAATGTGTTTTGATGGGAGTGGATTTTTTAACAAGCACGTATCTACATCAGTGAACAAAAACAAACAGATGAACCAAAACATTGTGGCCATTACATATTCCAGTTGATCCTTAAGAAACAAAGGAAGTGTGTGCAGAAGTAAAGTTCATACATGTAGGACACTTTCCAACACTTTAGGAGAGCCTATTCATTCCTCCCTTCACTGATGTGTATACATTGGATTAGTGAAAGCAAGATGATCACTCTTTTAAGCAGTTTCACCAACTAAATACGCCAATTACCACACCTGTGATGGTACCCTAGAGGCTCTGGAGCTGCCCAGAAAACTATAACCAAAGGCACACACACACACACACACACACCACTAGAGAGCAGTCTTTTCAAACAGCTCTTACACTAAAAGGGCATCAGCATTTTCACAATATTATTCCAACCTCATAGTGTGGAAATATATATAGAAAACACTGGAAAATCCTGTTTTTGACTGCACTGGGCCTTTAAGGTCCACAGCATCATGAACTTTACTAAGTTCCAGGTCATAGTATTTCTAAAGTAGATTCTCGGTCCAGAACACTTTCTGCCACTCTGGTTCAGGCTTCAGTCCCACTCCCTGTCCAGTATTCCATACTCCAACAGAGGCTGGTCCATCATCAACTGAGCCACACTCACAAACCCTACAGTCTGTGTGTGTGAGAAAGAGAGTGAGACAGAGAGAGTGAGAGAGAGAGAGAGATAAGTATGGTTACACCAGGTACTACCTGATCTTGTCCAATAAGAAACACTCATTTTTATTTTCTGTTGTAAAATGTTTTGCTACACGACCCTTTTCATGTTGTTCCACTATACCCCACAGTGCCCTCTAGTGGTTCCCACCTCCACTAGTGCCACTGCCAGAGATGACCAGATGATGAGACGCAGAACAAAAAGCAAGGCCTCCTCCAGCTTCACCTGGCAGCCCTGAGAGAGAGGACACACACACAACTGAGTAAGGGGAGTGCCATCTCTCTGGAAGGAAATGCTGCCCAGGTGTGTATGTACATACATACCTTTGGATCACCACAGTGGGCCAGGGCTGGTGTATGTGTGTGTGTGTGTGTGTACCTTTTGATATAGTAGCCCGGGCAGCTCCAGGGTACCATTACAGATGTGGTAGGTGGAGATACAGCAGCTGTGAGGTACACTGCCCCGCCCACTGTGGTTAAACCAGGGCGTGGCCAACCAGTCACGGTAGTCATAGATACCACAGCACTGCAACTGGAGAGGATTCACATCACAGATAGTCATTAGATCAGTTCAGATCATGATCACACACACACACACACACCTCTTTCTGTGTGGCGTCCACAGCATTGGATCCTGGGTCCTGACTGCTTCCTGTGTATCTTCGAAAGACACTCCTGAAGGGAGCCAGCTCTAAGTCCACCTGAACACAGGTCAGTCACATCATGTTATTTATCATAACTATAACATACATTGAGAGTACAAAACATTAAGGACACCTTCCTAATTTTGAGTTGCACCCCCCCACTTTTGCCCTCAGAACAGCCTCAATTCATCGGGGCATGGACTCTACGAGGTGTCGAAAGCATTCCACAGGGATGCTGGCCCATGTTGACTCCAATGATTCCCACAGTTATGTCAAGTTGGCTGGATGTCCTTTGGGTGTTGGACCATTCTTGATACACACGGGAAACTGTTGAGTGTGAAAAACCCAGCAGCATTGCAGTTCTTGACACAAACCGGTGTGCCTGGCACTTACTACCATACCCTGTTCAAAGGCACTTTCACCTGGTCAGTCTATGTCATGGAAAGAGAAGGTGTCCTTAATGTTTTTTACACTCAGTGTAGAATGTCAAATATGGGGATGTGTGCTCTTTTGGTAGTTTTGTAAAGCCATATCTAAGTACCTTTCCTGCGTTGACATAGGCTAGAGCAGCAGCAGTTGCCTCCAGGCAGAAAACCATGACCAGCAGATAGACAAACTGAAACGGCCAAGCACCATGACAACAGATAAGGTGATAAGCTCCATCCAAAACTGTAGAAAATACATACATTTTATTCTATTCAGACACACAAACACAGACTCTCTCTCTCTCTCTCCCTCTCTCACCACGGCCTGTAGCCAGGCTGACTTTCTGAGGGACACCCAGATGCCCAGTCCTCCGCTGGCCAATAGCAAGGTAGCGCTGGCCAGAGCTAGGCATGCTGGGAGGATGATGTATGTGTGGGCGAAGAACAGGCCATTGTGTCTGTAGATCAACAACAAGTACATACCACTCAGACCTACCATCAGACCTGCCAGCTAGAGAGGGAGGGAGAGATAGGGAGGGAGGGATAGGTAGGGAAAGATAGGGAGGAAGGGATAGGGAGGGAGAGATAGAGAGGGAGAGATAGATAGATAGAGAGGGAGAGATAGATAGATAGAGAGGGAGAGGGAGAGAGAGAGATAGAGAGGGAGGGAGGGAACGAGAAAAAGAGAGGGAGACAGAGAGACAGTGTGTTTATCATATCATTCAGTAGCCAACAATTCTTGTGAGGGTGCAGTGCAGAAATAACTAATTCAGCAAAAAAAAACGTATTTGAAGAAACGTTAATCTTTCATAAACATTTTGTGTGCGCGTGTAAAATAATTAAATCCCACTCTAGGTCTGAGGCTTTCTTAGTTCTCACTGAATCTAATTACACACACGAGATGCCATCTTTTCAGTTAGTCATGTGGATTCAACAGCATCTAGGCAATTAATCTGTAAACATGCAGCAAGAATGAATAGAAGACAGAGAAAAGGAGTGGTGGAAACACTTCCTATAACATATTCTAAGCTGTTTGCTGTATAATGCAAAGCAAATTCTGTCTTTTAATGATATACATTACAGTCTTTCAATGGACAAAATTAACAATACATATCAAAAGTGCATAGAAATATGCAATAGGCTGAAGTCAAATAATTATTGCAATATGTATAATGATTTGCCATTCCTTAACATATGTTAGCTTAAACAGTTTTACAGGACATACAATGCAGAAGCACATTATGGTCAGCGGTGTATCTGATTGGCTTAGTGCTGTAAGATCTTACCCATAGAAGTTGGCAAGTTATCTGAATAACTATTTTAAAAGCTCGTCGTCTTGTTTCACCCATTGTATGTTAATGAGCAGTGTTCTGTGTAGTTTGAGGAAGTTATATATTTACTTAGTCACTGAGTTTACTCCATACAGCACAGACATTCCACCACAGCATAATGTCAAGTTGTAATATCAAGACACAATACAAGGTGGAAAAATTAAGTTAACCAATTCCAAATCAAAAGTGTGCACGCAAAACTTGCCGTCTTTCGTTTTTCTCCAACCGCATCAAATTATTCAGGCATTTCTCAAGAGAGAGAGAATCAGAAGCATGACAGTGACGAGGAAGTACAGCGGGGAAGGAGTTTAAATTAACCCCATAGATCCCAATGGGTGCCTGAGCAGAGCTGGTGTATACTTAAGTGATAATGCCCGAGAAGCCGGTGTTTGTTGGATATATTGGCACGGGTGTTGTTAGGCCCGAGACAAAGACAAACCGTGCCAATATATCCAACAAACACCGGTTTCGAGAACATACATATTCAAATAATGATTGACATATTTTCATTAAAAACGTTATTTTTATTAATTTATTGTACTATTTCATCCTTCCACAAGATATAGACCCAACACGAATCTAGGGTTGCTAGAGACGCGACCCAGTCGTTCGTTCTAAATGTTCCATTGCCATACTGGCTGGCAACGTTCTTATCCCTTGCTTGCTATCTAGCCTACTACGGCTAATTTACAGTTATGTCAAAAAAATTCAGCCAGAATAACAGCCAGCAAAGTAGCGGCATTTGCATTTGTTTAAGCTGTTTTCTAGTGAAATGTATTTGGTACATCCATAACAATGAGCTAATGAGGCGCGATTTCGCCTGGCTGAGAATGTGCTCACTAGTCAGGACACTGTTGTTCAGAGGAGCTAGCAAACAACCCAGCTACAATAACACAATCACTTCAAACTGAAGCTGGAAAGACTGCACATGAGCTGCGTTTGGTTTTACCTTTTTTCAATGTATTTTTTGTTGTTGTATATATCCATACAAATTATCCCAGCTGATTCATGATTTCGACTGGCTGAGAAACGCTGCCTGCCTTTCGAATTTGAATATTGAAACAGTTGCAAATGTCGGAGAGTCAGACAGCAAGGTTTATACAAATCTCCACTGTTGAAAACTAAATGTAAGTCTAAAAGAAATGTGAGATAATGTCTAGATTCTTTATATAGTGGAGATCAAGTTTATAAAGTGCCTGACTGGGTTGATGAGACAGTGGGTTGCGCAGTCAGATGGAACAGTGTAAATAGGCATTTTAACGTCATAGATTTAGCTGGTGGTAACTAGTGGAATAGACAACGGCTGGAATGTTGTTTTAACCTATCAGCATTCAGGATTAGACCCACCCGTTGTATAAAGCTATATGGTACATCACTGCTCCTCCTCTCACATCAATCAATCAATCAGTCATATGTTTTAAGTATGCAAGTGCAGACAGACAGACAGAAATAGATGGGTGTGTGGCACCCTCTGTTGGGTGGTGTGGGCTGACATTGGTGAGCGCATCCCATCAGTTATGTGCTCATCCCAGTCATCAGATTGTCTCATCCTTGCTGTAGGCCTATGCTGACATGAACAATTCCACATTTAGATTGTAAACATTTACATGTCTTATTCTCAAAGACAACCTCCATTCTAGAAAAAAAAAAAAAACATAACTTCAGGCACTACAGCGAAAGACAGTATGTCAGCTTAGGTAGTGCTACGACCATACAAACATACATAACAAATGGAGCAAGTGACAGGCATAGGAGAATGTCCAGGGTCGCATTCAGAAGGCACAAAACAGGAGAAAACATTTAGAAATGAAGGAGGATCTACTTGAACTAAGGTGCTCATTTTCTTCACCCATTTTCAGGTGAAACATTCTGAACCTATACATTTGCAGATGCTAACCAGGTCCCTATCCTACATGATGAGAGGATCTGAATATCCTGTAGCGTTGTGTCCTCCTGAATGGATATGAGAACCCTGCACTTCCTCATTAGTCTGCGTAGCAAGCAGTCTCATTGGCTGAGTTGTGGATGTGACGGGCCAATCAGCATCCTGGTCCTCTATGTTTGTGGTTTGAGTTGTCAGCTACCAGCTGGAGGTCCAGAGTTCGACTTCAGTCTTCAGATCCACAGTTCAATGCAGTGGTCTGTGTGTGTGTGTATGTGAGTGTGTGTGAATTCTCCTGTGTGTGTATCTAGTCCTCTAGGTCCAGATCTCAGTAGGCACCATGCCCTCTTTGGTCCCAACAGAAGGCATTAGGTTCTGCTCTGAGAGGAAGTCCAGAGGGAATTGAACCAGGAACCCTCTGGTCCTTCTTAGCTCCTCCTGGGCTTTACCTGGGTCAGACTGGGCCAGGCCTGGGTTTGTCTGGTAACTCTCTAACTCAGACATGTTACGAACCAGGGAGGACGGCAGGCACCGGAACACCTGGAGTGAGAGGAGGGAGGGAGGGAGAACAAGAGAGAAAGAGAGAGTAAAGTGAGTTAAATGTCACATTCACAAAGGAGGTTGCGCACACACACACACACATACACACACTCACACACACCTTCTCATAGATGGTTGCGTTGCGTCCAGCGGTTGTCATCCAGACATCCTTATAGAAGCGGTCAGAGACAGGGTCAGACACATCAATGGTCGTGTCCGTATGAGCTCCAAGGATAGTCCTGACAAGAGAGAACACACACACACAATGAGATGATATGTGTATTGTCTTAGTGATCAGATAAGGACCAAAAGAACAGTTATACACACCCAAACCACCCAAGGCATAGCTGTAGTGTGTGTGTGTGTGTGTGTGTGTGTGTGTGTACCTGAAACACTCTAGACGTAGCGCCAGTGCGTAACGTCCAGCCTGGTACTCCTGTCCGTCCATCACCGCGGTAACGGTCTCAGAGTCCTCAATGATCACCGCCACCTCGCTGTCACGCTTCCCCAACATGCTGCGGTCGTTGATGTTGGCCGAACCTAACACACACACACACACACACACAGTGAAAACGCATCAGATTGCAGCCAACACCAATGAGATGAACACAGAGGCTGCAGTTCACTCATTCACCAGCAGAGGGATCAAGGGTAAAAACTGAGGCTCCGTCTAACTCTAAACATCACTCTGTGAAAGCTGCCAATTCTTAGTCGTGCTTGTTATATGAACATGAAACATGTTGAATACTTTTTGTTTCTCACTCCCTGAAATCACTTCATGAAAACATACTCACACAAGACTCCCTTGTCCCCACCCCCAACACACACACACCTATGATGACGGTGTTGTCATCTGTGATGAGCATCTTGCTGTGGACGTAGATGAGCTCTGTGACCAGGCGTCCCTCCAGTTCAGCGTGGGTCCTCAGACCACAGAACGAGATGTAGTTCATCCACTGGAGCTCATCCACTGAAACACACACACGGTTAGTTCTCAGACCACAGAACCATATGGAGTTCATCTACTGGAGGTGTGTGTGTGTGTCATGATTTGTATGTGAGAATATTATTATCCTTACTTTCTTTCTTCAGCTGGGAGATGATGGAGTATTCACCTCTGATCATGGTCCTAAAGAGGATAGGAGAGCTCAGTTAATAATGAAAACAGTGCATGTGTGTGGGTGTGTGCGCACGTGTGTGTGTGTGTCACCTGTAGTTGAAGTGCATGACGGCCTGGAGGGCGTTTCCTCCCCCTGTTGTGATGTCACCTTCAAACCCAGGAAGTAGTGGAGTCACCACGTACACACGGAACTTCTTGCCCTCCCTACAGAAAGATACAAACACATGAAATACTGCACCTCACACACCTTCACCTTACACACCAACACCAGCACACACACACTAAAACACACACACACCTTGCACACCAACACACACATACTTGTGAGCTCTGAGGATCCTCTCGATGAGCGCTTCTCCGATCTTGTTATGGACCATCTTGTTGTCAGCACAACTGATGAAAAACTGGTTCTAATGAGAGAGAGAGAGAGAGAGAGAGAGAGAGAGAGAGAGAGAGAGAGAGAGAGAGAGGAGAGAGAGAAGAGAGAGAAGAGAGAGAGATAGAGATAGATAGAGAGAGAGAGAGAGAGATAGAGAGAAGAAAGGGAGAGATAGAGAGAAGAGAGAGAGATAGAGAGAAGTATATATATATACTGTATATATATTTTCTGTTGTATTTCTGACTTTATGTTTTTTTTTACCCCATATGTAACTCTGTGTTGTTTTTATTGCACTACTTTGCTTTATCTTGGCCAGGTCGCAGTTGTAAATGAGAACCTGTTCTCAACTGGCTTACCTGGTTAAATAAAGGTGAAATAAAATAAAAAAAGAAAAAAAGAAAGGGAGAGATAGAGAGAAGAGAGAGAGAGATAGAAGAGAGAGAGAAAGACAGGAGAGAGAGAGCGAAAGGAGAGAGAGAGGTGAAGCGTGGTAAAGCAGAAGACGGTAGGGCCACTCACTGGTATTGTTATGTAGTGATTTGTTGTGTATGTAGTGTTATGTCGCGCTATAAGGTGTGTACGTACCTTTACGTAGTTGAGGTGCTATGGATTGCTAGTACTAAGGAGTGTATGTAGTGCTATGCAGTGTTATGTAGTGGTATGTACAGTGTTTGTACCTCTATGTAGATGAAGTGCTTGCTCCTGGCGATGGTCTGGAGGTAGGCGTTGTGGATGGACTCCTCATGGTACTTAATACCTGCTGACCAGTCTGCTGCTGACCGCAACACCTGGACAGGACAACACAGGTTAGTGTGTCACTAGTGTGTGTGTGTGTGTGTGTGTGTGTGTCTTACCTGTACTCTAGTGGGAACACAGTCGGGCACCTGGTACCTCAGCTCGCTGGCACTGCTGTGAGACTTGGGCAGGAGGTACGGGTAGGAGAGAGAATGATACTTAGGCTTCATTATCTACAGAGAGAAAGAAGGGATAGAGAGATGTGGAAAAGGAGCTCTCAATTCAATGAGGCACTTGAAGTCGGGTGTGTGTCTGACCTTACAGAAGTTCCAGCGCTGTATGAAGTGTCTGGCCACGTCCCTGGCAGCCTTCCCATGGACCACAGAGGAGATGTCATGCCACGGCATCCTGGGAGTGGTGTACCTGTCAATGAAGTCTGGAGAGAGGAAAACTACTGTCAAATTTAGTGTGTGCACTAGCGTGTGTGAGTGCATGTTTGTGTGTGGTGGGGAGGGGTTGCTTGTGTGTGTCACTGATCTGATCCCTCTCTCTCTCTGTCTGTCTTTCTCTGTTACATTCTCTCTCTCATGTGTGTTTAGACAAACTCCTAAACAGCTTCTTTCCCCTGGCCATAAATGTCTAACTACTACTGCTCCCCCTCACACCTACACTCAAATGATTATTGATTCGATTTATTACTACCAGTACTTTTTATTTATTTAACTAGGCAAGTCAGTTAAGAACAAATTCTTATTTACAATGACGGCCTACACCGGCCAAACCCGGACGACGCTGGGCCAATTGTGCGCCGCCCTATGGCACTCCCAATCACGGCCGGTTGTGATACAGCCTGGAAACAAACCAGGGGGTCTGTAGTGACGCCTCAAGCACTGAAATGCAGTGCCTTAGACCACTGCACCACTCAGGTCAGACAGACACACCCGACTTCAAGTGCCTCATTGAATTGAGAGCTCCTTTTCCACATCTCTCTATCCCTTCTTTCTCTGTGTGTGTGTGTGTGAGTCCTACCGTCAAAGGGTTTCTCCAGCTGTATCCAGTCCTTGTAGACAAAGTTGCAATAGTCTTTTCCGTGCCAGAACCTGGTGTCACCCTTCAGCTCTCCTACACCTGTCTGGAGGCTTCGCACTGAACCACTGCCTACAAACACACACACACACACACACACACACACACACACACACACACACACACACACACACACACACACACGAAAGAGAGAACATAACAGAGAAAGAAAGAGAGAGGGGTCAGATCAGTGACAACACACACACACACACACTCACACACACACTCACACACAAACGTACCAGCGCTGTCCAGGGAGCTGATGCTGTCTGCATGCTGCAGAGAGTGTTTGTGGAGGTGTTTGACCAGGGAGAAGTGCATCTTCCTTGTTCGACCAATCCCCTTCAGCCGTGGAAGCTCCACCCCTGGGTTGCCAGGCAGTGATTGGTTGCCTCCGTTGCTATTGGCGGCACCATCGGTAGAGGACACTCCCCTACTGGAGGGATGGTGGGCGGAGCTCTGAGGCTGAAGGTGAGAGAGGTCAGAGGTTAGAGGTCAGGATAAAGGTTAGGGTCACCTATTTTTGTGGTTTTATGTACATTCAAAAGGTTTTTACTGTTCCAAGTTTGTGTCTGTGTGTGCGTGTGTCTGACCTGCTCCATCTCCAGGGCAACAGAGCGTGTCACACTCCCCACGTCTGTCAGGCGATGCTCTCGGTCATCCCAGCGACCGTACGCCAGGTCAATCCCGCCAACGAAGGCCACTGATTGGTCGATGACGATGATCTTCTCGTGATGCGCCCACAGGTACACAGACGACGACACATGGTCCGGGTGGCGCATCACCTGAAGGAAAAACACACACACATTTAATACACACACAGACACACAGACACAGACACACACACACAGACACACTCCTACCTTGATGTTGGGGTGCAGGTGTATTAATGTTCTCTTGCTGTATTCACTGTTGATGCCCAGAGCTAGCTCCACCTCCTTATACAGCATCACAAAAATGTGAACCCCCTGTTGCTGTTGGGAGAGAGAGAGAGAGAGAGAGAGAGAGAGAGAGAGAGAGAGAGAGAGAGAGAGAGAGAGAGAGAGAGAGAGAGAGAGAGAGAGAGAGAGAGAGAGAGAGAGAGAGAGACGGAGAGAGTGAGAGAGGGTGTATGGGCCAATTCCAACGTTCCTATTATATTAGCTAACATGTGAGTGATACTGCAGTATCAATGGTTATATAAATGTCATCTGGAATAACAAGTGTAAACTCACTGCTTTGCGTTTGAGGATGCAGTCCAGTCTCCATTTGTTTCCCTCCACAACTGGCCTCTTCAGGAAGATCTCTGGACTCAACCTACACACACGCACACATACACACACACACGCACACACCAAAACCTATTAGTGACATGTGGTAAGCTGTTCAAGCAGTTTGATGAGCGAACTACTTTGCATTGTACAGTGTCTGTTGGACTTCATCAATTTTTAACCAAAATGTTTGACAAGAAGTCGACGTACAGCACATCAGTTACTAGTGTAGTGAGAGGTGAGCCAGGTGAGCAACATGAGTCTTGTAAGGTTCCAGAAACTCCTTAGGCCCCTCTGCCAACAGGTGTTAGAAACAGAATGCAGCTAGCATTACATTACACTGCTACAGATTTATACAAAGTCCACTTATCAGGAGTCGACTGTAAGAATACTGTACAGGTTTTTGATCTGGGACTGGTAAACTACACTAGACATAAACAGACTGTATTTACAGTCTGCCTGGGTGATGACATGTAGCTGTGTTATGTTGCTGTGTTTATTCACACATTAACTGCTGACAGCAGTGTCTATTTCCATACACACTCACACACAAACACACACACACATACACACACACACACACACACATACATACACATAAACACACATACACGCACATACCACCAGTCAGTGATGAAGATCTCTTCTTTAGCCTCTTCCAGAGCATCGGCCACGTCCTCCATGTAGGTCTTCCCATTCACATACCTACACACACACATACACACACACACACACACACACACACACACACACACACACACACACACACACACACACACACACACACACACACACTCTCATTGGTCAACACCCTCTCCTAGTTCCTCATTTATCATAACAGAACATTTTAGATGCAGATGTCACTTGACAGTTCCAGTCAACCAAACCCACATGATGTTGACAGACAGACAGGCATAGAGAAAAGCTCACAGACACACACACTTCACTTTCGATCTAACTACTAAACTTAACATTGACAATACTTACATCTAACTACTAAACTTAACATTGACTAAACTTACATCTAACTACTAAACTTAACATTGACAACATTTTCCATCTAACTACTACACTAAACATTGACAACATTTTCCAACTACTAAACTTAACATTGACTAAACTTACATCTAACTACTAAACTTAACATTGACTAAACTTACATCTAACTACTAAACTTAACATTGACTAAACTTACATCTAACTACTAAACTTTACATGAGTTTAAACAATTTTTTTTGGGTTGATTCTAGACCTATCCGCTGCCTTTGATAATGTGAACCATCAGATCCTCCTCTCCACCCTCTCCGAGTTGGGCATCTCCGGCGCGGCTCACTCTTGGATTGCGTCCTACCTGACAGGTCGCTCCTACCGTGGCGAGAATCTGTCTCCGCACCACGTGCTCTCACCAGGGCTCAGTTCTAGGCCCCTTCCTATTCTCTCTATACACCAAGTTACTTGGCTCTGTCATATCCTCACATGGTCTCTCCTATCATTGCTACGCAGACGACACAATTAATTTTCTCCTTTTCCCCTTCTGATAACCAGGTGGCGAATCGCATCTCTGCATGTCTGGCAGACATATCAGTGTGGATGTCGGATCACCACCTCAAGCTGAACCTCAGCAAGACGGAGCTGCTCTTCCTCCCGGGGAAGGACTGCCCGCTCCATGATCTTGCCATCACGGTTGACAACTCCATTGTGTCCTCCTCCCAGAGTGCAAAGAACCTTGGCGTGACCCTGGACAACACCCTGTCGTTCTCAGCTAACATCAAAGCGGTGACCCGATCCTGCAGGTTCATGCTCTACAACATTCGCAGAGTACGACCCTACCTTACACAGAAAGCAGCACAGGTCCTAATCCAGGCACTTGTCATCTCCCATCTGGATTACTGCAACTCGCTGTTGGCTGGGCTCCCTGCCTGTGCCATTAAACCCCTACAACTTATCCAGAACGCTGCAGCCCGTCTGGTGTTCAACCTCCCCAAGTTCTCTCATGTCACCCCACTCCTCCGCACACTCCACTGGCTTCCAGTTGAGGCTCGCATCTACTACAAGACCATGGTGCTTGCCTACGGATCTGTGAGGGGAACGGCACCTCCTTACCTTCAGGCTCTGATCAGACCCTACACCCAAACGAGGGCACTACGTTCATCCACCTCTGGCCTGCTAGCTCTCCTACCTCTACGGAAGCACAGTTCCCGCTCAGCCCAGTCAAAGCTATTCGCTGCTCTGGCACCCCAATGGTGGAACAAGCTCCCCCACGACGCCAGAACAGCAGAGTCACTGACCACCTTCCGGAGACACTTGAAACCCTACCTCTTTAAGGAATACCTGGAATAGTATAAAGTAATCCTTCTTCCCCCCCCCCCCCCAAAAAAAAAAAAGTGGTTGTCCCACTGGCTATCATAAGTTGAATGCACCAATTTGTAAGTCGCTCTGGATAAGAGTAAATTGTTGTTTCCCAGTTTCCATAGTTACCATTTGGCAGGGATGTTCTGCTCCTCCTGAGCGAAGGAACCAAATCGATGGTCTCGTAGAAACGCCCTCCCGTGTTTACGGACAAAGTCTTCTATCGCCTGGCCCCACCACCGAGCATGTCTGTAGCTGTTCAACTTCAGTACAAGGCACCTACACGCACGCACGAACACGCACACACAAACACAATTACCTCCTTCATCTCCTGGCCCCACCTCCTAGCATGTCTGTACACACACACATACCACACCTGGAGAGGCTGTCGATGCGTACTCCATGTTTGGTCTCTGTGTCTTTGGAGTCCATTTTGATGCTGAACTCTTTGTCCAACAGGAGAACAAAGGATACAGCTCCTGAGTCTGGCTTCATGTAGAAGAGGAACGAATCCTTCACCACCAACCAGCTACACACACATACACACACACACACACACACACACATACACACAGGGAGAGATACATCAGTGTGTGTGCATGCATGTTTGTGTTTGCATTGTGTGTCTCTATTAGCTTGGCACATCTAGCCACTTGGTTGGATGGGTTCCGCTGGTGTACAGCAATCATTAAGTCATACCACAGATTCTCAATTGGATTGAGGTCTGGGCTTTGACTAGGCCATTCCAAGACATTTAAATGTTTCCCCTTAAACCACTCGAGTGTTGCTTTAGCAGTATGCTTAGGGTCATTGTCCTGCTGGAAGGTGAACCTCCGTCCCAGTCTCAAATTTCTAGAAGACTGAAACAGGTTTCCCTCAAGAATTTCCCTGTATTTAGCGGCATCCATCATTTCTTCAATTCTGACCAGTTTCCCAGTCCCTGTTGATAAAAAAACATCCCCACAGCATGATGAGTCTCCCGAGTGGCGCAGTGGTCTAAGGCACTGCATCGCAGTGCTAGCTGTGCCACTAGAGATCCTGGTTTGAATCCAGGCTCTGCTGTAGCCGGCCGCAACCGGGAGACCAATGGGGCGGCGCACAATTTGCCCAGGGGAGGGAATGGCTGGCAGGGAGGTAGCTCAGTTGGTAGAGCATGGCGTTTGCAACGCCAGGGTTGTGGGTTCGATTCCCACGGGGGGCCAGTATGAAAATAAAAATGTATGCACTAACTGTAAGTCGCTCTGGATAAGAGCGTCTGCTAAATGATGTAAATGTAAAAATGTAATGATGCTGCCACCACCATGCTTCACTGTGGGGATGGTGTTCTCGGGGTGATGAGAGGTGTTGGGTTTGCGCCAGACATAGCGTTTTCCTTGATGGCCAAAAAGCTCAATTTTAGTCTCATCTGACCAGAGTACATTCTTCCATATGTTTGGGGAGTCTCCCACATGCCTTTTGGCGAACACCAAATGTGTTTGCTTATTTTTGTCTTTAAACAATGGCTTTTTTCTGGCCCCTCTTCCGTAAAGCCCAGCTCTGTGGAGTGTACGGCTTAAAGTGGTCCTATGGACAGATACTCCAATCTCCGCTGTGAAGCTTTGCAGCTCCTTCAGGGTTATCTTTGGTCTCTTTGTTGCCTCTCTGATTAATGCCCTCCTTGCCTGGTCCGTGAGTTTTGGTGGGCGGCCCTCTCTTGGCAGGTTTGTTGTGGTGCCATATTCTTTCAATTTTTTTATAATGGATTTAATGGTGATCCGTGGGATGTTCAAAGTTTCGGGTATTTTTTTATAACCCAACCCTGATCTGTACATCTCCACAACTTTGTCCCTGACCTGTTTGGAGAGCTCCTTGGTCTTCATGGTGTTGCAGACTCTGGGGCCTTTAAGATCAGGTGTATATATACTGAGACCATGTGACAGATCATGTGACACTTAGATTGCACATAGGTGGACATTATTTAACTAATTATGTGACTTCTGAAGGTAATTGGTTGCACCAGATCTTATTTAGGGACTTCATATCAAAGGGGGTGACTACATATGCACGCACCACTTTTCCGTTATTTATTTTTGCGAATTTTTTGAAACAAGTTATTTTTTTCATTTCACTTCACCAATTTGGACTATTTTGTGTATGTCCATTACATGAAATCCAAATAAAAATCAATTTAAATTACAGGTTGTAATGCAACAAAATAGGAAAAACGCCAAGGAGGATGAATACTTTTGCAAGGCACTGTATGTGTGAGTACTAACCGTTTAGACCAGCGGTAGCAGACTTCACTGTGACCACAGCAGTTCAAGCCTGGGATACGATGACCTCCAGAACGCTTATGTATCATCCCCTCCCTGAAACACGTTTAAATAATCCATACACAAAATATAACGAATATATTTTCAATAACAATGGGCATGATGCCACAGTCATAAAGACAGCATCTGTAAATAAATCTGATGTTCCTCACAGTCCTTTAGGTCCCAGGTCATGGATGAAGGACATCTGGCTGACGTCTATGAACTCCATCTGAGAGAGAGAAACACTATTAATGGGTATTAGATAAAGAGAGAAGCAGTAGTCGTAGTAGTTCCAGTTCCGGTCGCCTATAGTATAGTCTAGTCTAGTTTAGTAGTACCATAGAGATCCTATTATATTACTAGAGGGGCTATGTCATAAACCCTCAAAGTTCCATAATGGGGCCTAAATGGCAGCCATCTTGTTCAGGGAGAAACCCCCAAAAAATGGCAGCCATCTTGTTCAGGGAGAAATCCAAAACCAGTTTAACTGGAATGAATGTCAGTAGAGGCATAGGTGATGCATTCCCTGCTTTTACTTATGCAGGAAAATAAAAGTAAGTCATGTGATATATCAGAAATTATAAACTGGGTGGTTCGAGCCCTGAATGCTGATTGGCTGAAAGCTGTGGTATATCAGACCGTATACCATGGGTATGACAAAACAGCTCTAATTACGTTGGTAACCAGTTTATAATAGCAATAAGTCACCTCGGGGGTTTGTGATATATGGCCAATATACCACGGCTAAGGGCTGTGTCCTAGCACTCCGCGTTGCGTCGTATGTACATAAGAACAGCCCTTAGCCGTGGTATATTGGCCATATACCACACCCCCTCGGGCCTTATTGCTTAATTGTGTAATGGAATTATAGTCAACCTAAAATATTGTAATATAATTATAAATACAGTTTATACAGGTTATATACACATTTTCTGTATAAATAGCCTCTAAATATATGTAAACAGACCATACATGTCTCAGATTTAGTTTTCTTGGAAAGCTGAGAGTGCTATTATATGATACAATATCAGTACTTGTTGCATTTACAACTTGTCTAAGTCCTATCATCAACTGATTTGAGCCAGTGTATGGCTGTGGATTGACTGCATTGTTTGAATGGAATGTTGGCATATTGGTAGTTAATTTGAAAAATTAATGGAATCATTCCTCTAAAACTGTCTGGCTAGCTAACACATACAGTGCAGATAAATTCTTCAAATTCGTTATTTGACACAATATATTATCACAGCACTGGCAAAACATGGTTGACCAACTCCCTGACCACCCATACGTAAAAATGTATGCACGCATGACTGTAAGTCGCTTTGGATAAAAGCGTCTGCTAAATGGCATATTATATTATTATATTATAGTACTCACAGTGTGGTAGTATTTCCTGTATATGGCCATCCTTAGCAGCTTGTTCAGATAATCTTCCAGTTGTTTCTGTACAGGGAACAGAATACATCCAGTATTACTACAGTATAGATGTACTATACAGTACAATGTTTATGCATATATATACTGTATTCTTCTATAAAGTTAATATGACAAACACACTCAAACACACCTACCCTCCTGCTGTAGACCTGTTCGTCTTGTGCCAACTCATCTCTGCAACGCGGCAGCTCAGGCATCTGTCTGGCTTCACTCTTCTTCATTGTCCTCCTCCTCGTTGTGTGGCTGAGAGCGAGAGAAAGAGAGAGAGAGGTGAAGTGGTCAAGTAAAAGACGGTAGGGTCACTCTCTGGTATTGGGGATAAATAAAATGTACATATCTACTGCACCATGGAAAATCCAAATATTTATATGATCAAAATTCTTAGTATATAATTGAGTATTTGATCACTTTACAATTTGATGTGTGTGTCTGTGTGTGAGTGTACCTTCGGGAGGGTAACGGTACCCTTATGAACATCTTGTATCGGACCAGTTCTCTGTGGAGTTCCATGAAGTGTTTCTCCTTTCTCTTGACCACCCAGCTGAACTCTCCATGTCTCAGCTCAATCTTAAACACCGCAGGCTGACTCTACACAGACAGAGATAGAGTGTGAGTGTGTGTGTGTATGTGTGTGTGAGTGTGTATGTGTGTGTGTGTGTGTACCTTGTTGACGCTCCTCTGTGCCGTGATGTTGAACCTGTCCTGAGCTGTATTGAACCTCTCCACCTCCAGGATCTTAGCAGTGATGGGAACAGTAGGGAGATAGACTCTGGCTTCAGACTCCTTAAAACCCACCGTGTGATACACAGCACTGAACCCTATATGACTGTCCCCTGGAGAGGTAGAGAAAAAGCCAATACATCTCTCATCATATCATTCATATTCATATCAAGAGCTCTCACATTCACGCACACACACACGCACACGCACACGCACGCACACGCACACACACGCACACACACACACACACACACACACAGTCTTGTACAGCTAACCTTGTTGGGACACACAATTCAGTCCCATTCAAAATCCTATTTTCCCTTACCCTAACCCTAACCCTAAACCTAACCCTAACCCTAACCCATACTCTTACCCTTATCCTAATGTCACGCCCTGACTCTGGGGACTTGTATTTGTTGAGTCAGGGTGTGTATTTTCTGTGTTGTGTTTGGCTATGTTGATTTTCTATGTGTAGTATCTAGATCGTGTAGATCTATGTTGCCCGGTGTGGTTCCCAATCAGAGGCAGCTGTAGCTCGTTGTCTCTGATTGGGAGCCATACTTAGGTAGCCTATTGGCACTAGTGGGTTGTGGGATCTTGTTCCGTGTGAGGTATGTTTTGTGTTTCATTTGTTGTTTTGTCGTGTTGTTTATTAAGTTTAAATAAACATGTACGCATATAACGCTGCGCCTTGGTCCGTCTCGTTTATGAACGAGCGTGACACCTAACCTTAACCCTAACCCTAAACCTAACCCTAGCTCCTAACCCTAACCCTTAACGTAATTCTAACCCTAACCCTAACCCTAACCTTAACACTAAACCCCCTAGAAATAGCATTTGACCTCGTGGGGACTAACAAAATGTCCCCAGTTGGTCAAATCTTTGTTTGTTTACTATTTGACTTCTGGTCCACACAAGAATAGTTAAACACGTCCACACACACACACACACACACACACACACACACACACACACACACCTATTGTGTTAGGGTCATTGTCAGTCTCCTCTCCATCTCCCATGTCCAACTCTCTGGTGTCCAAACTCTCAACTACGCCCGACATCTTCCTGCTGATGTCACTGGGTTCCACAGTGATGTCAGAGGGGTCAGAGGTCATCAGGGTAAGGCTGCTGGTGGTGGGGGGGTCTTTACCCAGCATGCCTAGCTCTCAACCCTCAGAACAGGGCACACCTGGATGAGGAGAGGAGGAGAAGAGAGTCCTTTAACCGTTGAATAGTCATAACGTTGTCTGCTTTGTAGAGAAGTTGTTTCTGTCTAAGAGAAAGAGACAGGTGTATGTTGCTCTGCATGTCTTATCACTCTCTATTACAGTACAGATCATCCCTGCAGCAGTGTGTGTGGGTGTGTGGACGTGTACGTGCTTGCCTGCGTGTGAACTTGAATTTGAGGGGAAGGATGTCAGGGATGTGTGTCTCCACACACACACACAACTCCCACACACACACACAGCCCAGAATATAACCAAAGGTTTCCCACTAACAGTAGAGGGCCATTGGTTAGAGATGCTGCTACGTCATTGGCTGACTGGCCGGCCCTGCAGAGAGCTACAGGAAGTCAGTGGAACTGTCTTCCAAAATAGTATAGTATAGTATGTGTGTGTGTGTGTGTGTGTGTGTGTGTGTGTGTGTGTGTGTGTGTGTGTATAATGGGTAGGACAGGAACCAGTACTATCATTAATGTCTTACTGGAAACTATAATGCCAGTCATTAGAGCTCTGCTTGTACCCTACAGTAAGACTCCCATCACACAGAGTAGACTTAGTCTCACTGCCAGAGCCAGAGAGAAATAATCATCTTAACAGGCACTGGGCCTTTCCAAACACACCACATTAAAGACAGAACCCAAGTATGCGTGTGTGTCGTTAGTGCAACGCCAAGCCAGACAGACAGACAGATAGGCGGGGCTCCATGGCAACAAGAGTGATGTGATGTCATCTCTGGTCAGAAGTCTAGAAAGTTATCTGAGGCAAGTCAAGGCAGGCGTGCACACACACTAACACACACACATTTGACTGTAAAACGCAGTTGGCTTATGACAGTGTCTGGCTCTTAGTGTGTGGAAGCATGTTGAGTCTTGTTCTGTGTGTGTGTTGCGATGTCATGATGACGTCTGTGTGTGTCTGTGAGTTCTGACTGGCCTCAGAAAACCTTCAGATAATCTTCTAGATTAATGTGTTGTATTTAGGTGAGTTTTTGTCCTATGTGTATTTGTATTTATTAGGGATCCCCATTAGTTCCTGCCAGGGCAGCAGCTACTCTTCCTGGGGTCCAAACACATTAAGGCACTTACATCACACATAAAACAAAATATAAAACAGTACATTATTTAACATTTTTACACCACTATATATCTACAATACAAAATAAACAGATCATTAGCGTAGTAAGCACGTTCAGAATGATAACAGACACTGTGTGTGAAGCTGTGTGTGTGTGATTTATGTCAGTGTGGTATCTCCCACCCCAGTGTCTAGGGAGAGAGACAGAGAGAGTGGGCATAATAGAGAAGAAGAGAGAGAGAGATATTGAGAGAGAGAGAGAGAGAGAGAGAGAGAGAGAGAGAGCGGGCATGACAGAGAGAGGGAGAGAGAGAGAGAGGACGGGAGAGAGGGAGGACGAGAGAGAGAAAGAGAGGGAGGGAGGAAGAGAGAGAGGGAGGGAGGAAGAGAGAGGGATGACAGATGGATTGTTGCTTTTATCTCGCTTCTCTGTTCTGATGGAACATTGTCTACTTCCTGTTTCCTGTCCAGGGATGTCATGATGATGGATTTTGGCCAATAGGAGAGAAACTATAAATACCAGCTACTGTATGGTGCCAATCATTCTTCTTCCTTATATTTCTATTATTATTTTTAAAGTCACATCCACATCCAACAATTTTCCCAGGGACCGGATACTAACATGTCTTGGGATCTGAATGGATAACACTAAGTTATCATCAGGACAGTTAACATCCCATTGACCTATGGTATCTACACATGCACACAGACACACACACACACACACACACACACACACACACGCACGCACACACCATAAAGATAAGTGAGAAGAGATTTGTCGACACAACATGTCATTTACAGTCAATGTGGTGCCAACCTCCGCCTAGCACAGATGACAGAGAGAAACAGAGTGAGAAAGTGGTCTGTGACACCTCTGTCTCTGCCCACACTAAAGCTGTTTATTATCTATTCATTTAAACACTAGAGAAAGAGAGGGAGAGAGAGATAGAGAGAAAGAAAGAGAGGGAGGGAGGGAGAGCGGAAGAGAGAGAGCGCTATAGCGAGAGAGAGAGGAGAGGAGAGAAGAGTGAGAGATGATATCATTAGCGATCTCGTCGCGCTATCGGAGATAAGTATTTAGCTGAGAGAGCTCTAGAAGCGAATATTCATCGCTAAATGATATCGCTATCAGTTACCATGTGGAACATTCAGGGCCTAAACTCATCAACCTTTGGACTGAAGAGTTTAGCACTGAAGTTCAAAATAAATCTTAAAGATGTTGACGTCATCATTCTGCAGGAGACATGGTGTAAGGCAGATATTGTCACTCACTGTCCCACAGGCT